GCAGACGTAAATGCGAGAAATGGCAAAGCAAGGGTCGTATTCCTTCAATTGAAGAACATATAGAACTAAAAATAACTGTCAACCCATATCAAACGCAGAGTCATTATTACAGACGTTAAGACAGTTCTACTGTATGGAGCTGAAACTTGGAGAACTACTACAACCATCATCAAGTATTTATTAATAGTTGTCTACGCAAGATACTCAACATCCATTGACCGGATACCTCAGTAACAGTGTGCTGTAAGAGAGAACAAACCAGCTTCCAGCTGAAGAAGAAATTAGGAAAATACGATGGAAATGGATAGGACATATATTACGCAAATCACCAAACCGCATCACGAGGCAAGCCCTAACTTGGAATGGTGAAGAGAAGCGGAAAAGAGGAAGGCCAAAGAACACATTACGTCGGGAAATAGAAGCACATATGGAAAGAATGAATAACAACTGGAAAGAACTGGAAAGGATTGCCCAGGAGAGGGTTGGATGGAGAATGCTAGTGAGCGGCCTATGCTGCTTCACGAAGAGTAACAGGCGTAAGTAAGTAAGTAAGTAAGTAAATGGCGTATGAACCAATTGTTGGTCACCGACTATCATGGGACTGCATCTCCTGATGTTGCTCCACTGCCTTGTGGATAAGACTTTTAGATTGAAGGCTCCAGGTGTGGCCTTTTAAGGAAACCACCTACTTCGGTTTGAGCACCCGGACAATATCCCAGCCCTCACAGAAAATGAATGATTTATGTGGCTCATATCTATTTTTGGCCTCCTTGCACCTATATTTATGTGTTTAAATAAATAAATATAGTGTAACATCAAGAGTACAACAATGATAACTTTTACTATTACATTTTTTGTAGTTTTAAACAATCATAAAGATGAATTAAGAATATTTTCTGCAGATATACTTCATGTTTCTCACCTATATTTTATTTTTTTGCACATTACCCTAATATTGTACAATAATTCTTGACGATTATGATTTTCTACAACGTACTTTCACCTCTTGATAATAATAATGCCAACCGAACTAAGAGCTAGGATCTCGATCTTGAATTTCAATATTCCTTCATGTATATCTTTTTACTTTTCAAAATATATTCGAAATGTTTATTTTTTCTCATTATGATTGTGACTACATACATTCAGTTTCTTTTGTTATGGATCCTATTACTTTCATATTGTTTTGTCAATGTGATTGATAATGTACATTTGTGTTATGCTCTATGTTGATTAAAGTCGATAGGACAATACTCAAGTTTGGGTCATTTCATAGTGATACAGTAACCATCAAAATCTTTCGACCTATTATTGTGATATAATTTAACGTCGTTGTAGACAGAAAAAATCATTGACCCACATTACATTGAGAATATAATTTTTTTAATTTTTTGAATACAAAATGAAGGTAATTCTATCGTTATCATCTATAGGACGTTATAATTTTCTTTATCAGAATGGGTTTTGTGGAGATTTTTTTTTAGAAATTTCACTGGTTGAAATCATCAGTCGATTGAAGCTAGACCACCATGGAAAACCTGGAAGCACTGGACGGCCGTTTCGTCTTAGTATGTGACTCCTCAGTAGTGCGCATCCACGATCCCGCCCTCCGCGAGACTCGAATTCAGGGCCTTTCAGTCTTGCGCATGAGCGCTTAACCATTGGACCACTGAGCCGGCATCCAGCGGTGTTAATGTCTAACTTCAACCAATCCACTAAGTTGCGCCACCGTACACCATTGTCTTCAGTGAGTTCCTATCTCACAACTGACCTGGTTGAACTCCACTGGTAACGACTGATAGGTCCTGGGTCCGAATCTCGCGGGGGGCTGGATCGTGGACGCGCAGTGCTGAGGAGTTTTATACTAGGACGAAACGGCCTTTCAGTGCTTCCAGGTTTTACATGGTTGTCTAGCTTCAATTGACTCATGATTTCAACCAGTATAATTTTCTTTGACAAATGAATACTCTTCAAAAACTTTTGTTTTATCTTCATATGGGTAACGTTGTCACAATCTATTTATTTTTCATCGAGTACACTATGGTAATAAGTGGTTGATACAATTGCAGTCTAGTATAGAAAATTACATAATGTGTCGTGTATATTAGTCATCCTATACGCTTTATAAGTATGTGTATGTTAGTGCACAACCTTTCCAAGGTCATTCTAATTACAATCGGTTGACGCAATAAATTTTCTCCTTTATTGTAGCCAATAAAATTCAATTTAGACCATTATGTAACAAAATGTTTGAGTAGGATTTTACACCAAAAACCAGCATACAATCTTTTTGTTTAGTGACTAGTCATTTTAATAAAGACATGAAAATTTAATAATAATAATAATAATAATAATAATAATAATAATAATAATAATAGTGAGGCGATACTATGGCTAATTAAAAGCTCTTGTTTGTACTTAAACAGCTACATAATTTGTATATAAACTGATGAAACTATTCGGTTGTTTAAGCTATAGCGACTAGAACTAAGTATGAATATGTTACGTAGCCATCGAAACTTATAAGTTCATTTCTAGGGATGTGTCATCTTTCCTAATTAATTTGCTGCTTCAGTTTATATTATTGTGAGAATTATATGTATATACTAGTCGCTGTGACTAATTTTCACTCATATTTTTTTATGGTTCCCTACAAGATATCGTTATTGTTACCCACTAAGTCTGCATCTGCTACTGTTGATCAGTTCAAAATGTATGTGACTTCACCCAGTGGTTGTACGTTTAAATTTCATTGTAGTGATTAAAATGTAAATCGATTACACGTAGTATCGTAAATGAATAAAATCATTATTGTCGCTGTATGTAACATGTTTAAAATGTTAATTATAACCTTGAATCAAAAATTAATGTGTTGTCGATTGAGTTATATTGAGATTGTATTCCATGAAGAATTTCAATGATTTGCTATACAGGCATGCTTTTAACAAGAGTTTGTAAAATGTAAACCATTGCATTAAAACAGGCTAAGGTAATTAGTTTAAATTAATCTCAGTAGGCTATTTTAGGTAAATAATGGTTGACAATGATTGATACTTAGTAAATAATGTCAAATTAAACCCATCACCTGATCATCGAAATGATGATCTTACCACTAACCATAACGTTTGAAAGATGAATTACCAATCTATTACAGGGTTTCTTTTAGCTAAAAAAAACCCAGATATCGTACTTTTCTGATTCGTCATATGAGAAATAATTATTCCAAAAATAAAAATAAAAATAATTGTGGAACCAATGTACCTTAAAAAATTGCATATATAATTTCTTTTCTTTGTTTTTTAAGCATTAGTTATACCTACATCACATTTAGTATTCTCTCATGATAAATCAACGCATCACATTGTTAAGAAGTAAAATTTTCCAGTGATTAATTTTAGAAGTACACTTGATTTATCTTTAGATATCAATCTAAACTCAACAATCTTCACAACCCTATACTGATATTTATCATATTCTCACTACTGACTAGCTTCAAGATGGATTTCCTGGAGTTCTAATAAGAAACCATGACCAGTGGAGTTCAACCGTATCTTTAAATTGTTAAGTACATATAGTACGATAACAGTAAAACTTCTATAATGTATTTAGGAAATTGTCGATTGTTATAACTAATACAGATAGAACGATGGGAGAATCAGTGTTTATTTTTCTATGTCGTACAATATTTTTGTCAAACTATTTTATTACACTTTACTGCACTGATAAGTGGGAAAACCCTAATTCGGAATTGCGACTCAACCAAATAGAAAGAATTCTGAAAGTCTATCTGTCAGAAGAATTTTATTATTAGGATTATTTAGAATTGACTTCTGCTTGAATAGTGAACAACATACTAGTACGACTCCGTACATATTTATAAAGACAATACTTTTTGATAGAATTTTTTAAATATCTCTGCCTCTTTTTATATCGGCTTTGGCTTAAGTATTTCAAGGGTAGTATTTTAAAACATTAAATGTAGCTCAAACACCAGAGTGTAGCTTATTGATATGTATAGTACACACACTTACTGTTTCGAATAACAGAAAATATATTTTCTACCCCTTTTTTAATTCCAGTTCAGTAATAGACCATTATAGGTCTTTGTATGAGATGTGAAGTTCACTCTGTATTTGGTTATATCAGTCAGCTAATACTAAAAGCAAATATTTCACAACTAATAGACAATGTCAAAAGAATTTGTCAATGTTCAACTTTTATTTAAAGCATATGTTTAACATTGCTTCAAAGCGATTAGTGCATAATTCGTTATAGAAAAAAACATTGTTAGATTACTTTTATATATTATTTTAATAGAAGATCTTCTGAAGATATTATGCGAAATACCCACTGTAACAATTGTCAGAGTCTGATTATTCAAACTGATTTACCATATTCCGATGAAGTAAGATATTTATGCAAAATACAATGACATAGATGATCCCAAGTCTTTGAAGAGTTACTCAATAGACCTATGGATTCTAACTAACCCTTTGCTTATGAGGCAAAAGACCTCAAGATAAAAGATTGTAAGTGTTTGGAATGTAATACATTCTAACCCCTTAATAATAATCGATCAATCAACAATCCATAAAAACTAGCAGTAAAGGATTGTCAAGATTGTAAAATTTCCTTAAAATCATAAATCAATCTAAGTTATATCACTATTGAATACTTATAAGTACTGGATCATCGTTTTGTTTAAATATGCAACTACTCAATAGTGAACATGCACAATTTCATACGTGGGAATTCAACCAAAGACACAGGATTCATAACAAGTTTAGGCATTCAATTTCTAAGTTATATTATATTATTATGAAATAGATTGTATGCATTTGATTATATTCTTAGTTTAACTATCAATTTTATTGAAGCAAACATTTACTAAGCAAGATACAATTAAGATATGATAATATAGAATGAAAATCTATCATAGTTATATTGTCTAAACTTGGAATTCTTTTTTTTAAATTTTTTTTTATGTTTCTATGTTACAGAATGTTATTCTTGATAAGAATGAAGAGGAAGTTTTCTATTTACCATCAAATATTTCACAACAATTGACACAAACTATCAAGAACTCCCAAGGTGAGTTCATTAGTATCATATTGAATATTTTATTTTAAAACATTAAATTATTGAGATGGTGGAGAAAATTTGTAGCTCAGGTGAATAATTTTATCTGAAGTTTGTACTGATGATGTCGTTCAGAAGAACGATAAAAACTCCACAACCAAACCATCCAGCTCAGAGAATAAAACTCCATCAAAAAATGTTTCCATTATTATTTACTTTATTCATTTTATTTCTTTCTTCTATCAATTACTATTTTGAGTAGTAATATTATAGAAATCAAATCAATCAATCATATCTCACTAGTTATGAAATGAATTTCCTATAGTCTTATTACACTGTCATAATCATTTGAATTTGTCTAATGATTATGAAAAAGATAAATCTACATTTCTAATTATTTATAGTTAAAATCAATTTTAAACAAAAATATTTATTCACTTATACGAATTGTTTTGTTAAATACCTTAATAAATAAATAAATGAAATAAATTTGTATCATTCATGGTGATAGAATTCATTGATGATCAATAAATTATTGTGATAATACTTACTTACGCCTGTTACTCCTAATGGAGCATAGGACGTTGACCAGCATTCTCCAACCTACTCTGTCTTGGGTCTTCCTTTCTAGTTCTGTCCAATTTTTGTTCATTTTTCTCATGTCTATTTCCATTTCTCGATGTAATGTGTTCTTCGGTCTTCCTCTCCTCCTTTGGCTCTGAGGAGTTCATGTGAGGGCTTGCCTTGTGACGCAGTTGGGTACTTTCCTCAATGTGTGTCCTATCCACTTCCAGCGCTTCTTCCTGATTTCTTCCTCCACTGGGATCTGGTTTGTTCTCTCCCACAGTACGTTGTTTATGATAGTGTCCGGTCAACGAATCCGAAGTATTTTGCGTAGACATTTGTTAATAAACACTTGTATCTTCTGGATGATGGCTTTCGTAATTCTCCAGGTTTCCGCCCCAGTAGACAGTAGAACTGTCTTGATTTTTGTATTGAAAATCCTGACCTTTGTGTTGGTTGACAGTTGTTTTGAATTCCAGATGTTCTTCAGTTGTAAATATGCTGCTCTTGCTTTGTGGATTTGCGCCTTCACTTCTGCATCAGATCCACCGTGTTCATCAATGATACTGTCCAGATATGTAAAGGTTTTTACATCTTCCAAATCTTCTCCGTCAATTGTGACTGGATTGGTGCATGCTGTGTTGTATCGGAGAATCTTGCTTTTCCCTTTGTGTATATTGAGACTTACTGCTGCTGAGGCTGCTGCTACATTGTTCGTCTTCTCCTGCATTTGATGTTGCGATTGCGATAGTAGGGCCAGATCATCTGCGAAGTCTAGATCGTCCAGTTGCATCCTAGCTGTCTCCTGTATCCCGTGCTTCCCTCCAGATGTTGACGTCTTCATGATCCAGTCGATCACCAGAATAAAGAGAAAGGGTGAGAGTAAGCAACCTTGCCTAACACCGGTCTTCACTTCGAACGACTTTGTCAACTGTCCTCCATGCACGATTTTGCAGTGTAATCCATCATATGACCTCTGTATGATATTGGCTATCTTCTGAGGCACGCCGTAGTGTCGAAGAAGTTTCCATAGTGTTGTTCTGTCCACGCTATCAAATGCTTTCTCGTAGTCAATGAAGTTGATGTAGAGCGATGAATCCCATTCAATTGATTGTTCCACAATGATCCGTAGAGTTGCGATTTGGTCTGTACACGATCTATCCTTACGGAATCCTGCCTGTTGGTCACGAGGTTGGGCGTCTACGCAGCCCTTCATCCTGTTTAACAATACCCTGTTGAAGACTTTTCCCGGTATTGAGAGAAGAGTGATGCCCCTGTAGTTATCACACTTGCTGAGATCGCCTTTCTTCGGTATTTTGATCAGGAGTCCTTCTTTCCAGTCTTTTGGTACTTGTTCCTCATCCCAAATCTTATTGAAGAGAATGTGGAGTATCTCTGCATTTACCGCTACGTCTGCTTTTAGTGCCTCTGCTGGAATGTTGTCCGGTCCTGCTGCTTTGCCACTCTTGATTTGTCTGATGGCCATGCTGATTTCTTCAATTGTTGGTGGGCCAACATTGATTGGGAGGTTCGTGGGTGCTGCTTCGATGTTGGGTGGGTTCAGTGGAGCTGGTCGATTCAAGAGTTCTTTGAAGTGTTCTACCCACCTGTTTTGTCGTTCTTCAATATTGGTGATTACCTCGCCTTCCTTGCTTTTCACTGGTCGTTCAGGTTTGCGGCGATTTCCAGAGAGTTTCTTTGTCGTGTCATACAATTGTCTCATGTTTCCCTCTCTTTCAGCCTTTTCCGCCGTCGTTGCTAAATCTTCCACATATTTACGTTTGTCTATTGTGCTCCATGCACAATTTTGCAGTTTAATCCACCATAGGACTTCCGTATGATATTGACTATCTTCTAAAGCACGTCGTATTGTCGAAGAAGCTTCCATAGTGTTGTCTTGTCCACGCTATCAAATGCTTTCTCGTAGTCAATGAAGTTGATGTAAAGTGACGAATTCCATTCAACTGATTGTTTCGCAGTGATCCGTAGATTGTGATAATAATGAGCAGTGAAATAATTCTGGTTAGCACGTTTTTAACTAGTTAGTTTTCCATGGATGCGGTCGCCGACCCCATATCCAACCCTCCTCCTTTACCCGGGATCGGGACCGGCTGTAACTCTGGAAGAGCTACAGGGGGAGTTAAACAGTGAATTATACTAGTAAAAATTGATTTTTAGCTCGCTAGTGAAGTTCTTAACGTCCTAGACAAAACATATAATCTGTTCAGTTAGAAATATTAAAATCAAGACAGCAATAACATTGTGTACTAGTCATAGTGTATTTAAAAAAATGTGGCTAAAAGTGAAATTTTCGAATCAACCAATTAGCTGGAAAATATTATATCCCTTCTTCAAGAACTAAAAGTCATTGATTTGATTGTTTGTCCGAAGAGTCTCAAACTGAGGTGAAATAGTTATCTAGCCCTGCATACTATTCAGTCGTGTATTCTTCCTTTAATTGAAATGTAAGTTTGATAAGTATCATGTTGTTTGATTGGGGAAAGTCTTCAAATATGTTTAAAGCAATATGACCGACCGTTGTTGCTACCTTGACGTGATGGTCGGGCTTGCCTATCGGGATGAAGCAACCGAGCTATACTGGCTGGAACAACCGTTCCTCAAGGTCCTACCATGTCAGACAGGTCGGTTGAAGAGCGGTAAACTAAAAGCAACGAAACTAATGTCCGAAGGCGAAGTCGTACTGCTGACTGTACAGAGGTGTGACAATAGTAAGGTGTTTCTTTCAGACACCCAGCATGACAGCGATGCTGCCTTCCCACAAGGAGGGGTGGTGGGGTTAGAAAATGTCGACCCTAAAAATGCACACCTCGCCTTATCCCACGGATATCCGTCTCCGGTGGTAAGGTCTCAACAAGTACGGAGCTAACACAAAAATTATCCATAAAAAGGTCATGTGTGACGGTTAAATGTCAATTTTTGCTCGTTACTTGACAATTAAAAATGACTAAAATACTTGGATGAATTGTTTGAACCAACAAACACTTGTACATAGCTAAATGTGTTCAATAATTACTAAACATAATTAAATAATCTCTCTTATGTTTGTATACATGTAGAAAAGTATAGAGTTGTAAAACTAACTCAAATTTGATGTCAAAACAAGTCAACAGATAATCGACGGATTCACAAAAGCTTTCTTACGATCTATTTCATTTTAATTCATCACTTTACGGTGTCAGTAAACTAATATTATACTGTAGCTAAATTCGATTATTATTTCATTCCCAATTATATTTACTGGTTTTACTCACAGTTGTAAAAATACAAACAAATAAAAGGTGTTTTGAGTAAGGTGTATACTTCAATTATGTGGCGCATATGTATTAGGTGTCGCTTTGTGCTAATATTTTGTAAAGTCTTAGCTTGGAAGTACACAAACATTTTGCTTGCACAATAATCAGTTCTCTGATATAAACAAAACATAAAATCGATGCGTTCCTATAGTTGCACATAGTAATACTCATATCTTATTTCCTATGCTCAGAAATGCTTTCGATCTAGAATTCTTATGCATAGCCTCTTTTTGTTAGTCTGATGATTTTGCAAGATTATTTTTCAATTAGATTGTCGATATCCTTTTTTGTCTTATCGATATAATGCACTGAGTTAGTTTCGACTAATGTTTATCAACTACTTCATACGTATTTCTTATTCTTAAGTTGATTGAAGATGTCATTCTGTAATAGTTGATACTTTTTAATGGCTATGAAACGTTTCATTTTATTATACAACAATTATTAACTGTGTAGATGTACTACTTATCAGTTATTCATTTTATTTGGCAAGAACGTCACTTTATTCTTAAATTGTTATGATTTAAACTAAATGTATGGAAAGTATTTCTTTCGATCTGATCATCATACTTATCCATATATGTATACAATATCGAGAAGATTTAGTTTGTATATAGGTATGGGACATACAAATGACATTGGTACTACGCATGTTCTTGGTCGAAGTATATGTTTTTTTATAAGATGCATTTCTGGCTGATTTAAATATCACATTTTTAATTCATCCACTAATTTTTTGATACATATCACAATGTGATAAATTTCTTTAAAGTTGCGCAACCTATCTCTCCCGGCAATGACAATACAAAGAAGGCAATAGTATCAACGGTTCTGAATGGGAATGATTCAGCAGTAGAGTCTTCAGTAGTACAAACAGTTAGCAGTTATATCATTAGAAATGAAACACCATGTAATGTTTGTGAACCAACTAAAAATGGTCAGATTAAAGATTGTCCAACAAATCATTCTTCTTTTAAATACGATCGACGTGATAAAGGTGGTCCCATTTCTAGCCATACTCGGTTACGTTATTCTAAACGTCAACAGGTGAGTGATAATTTTGCTTCCATGTTATTTAGTACCATAACACACGTTTATTTAAATTATCCCCGTTCTACAATTACTAAGCAAAATGCTTATTACCTAAGTAATTGTAAAGATATTTTGTTTGGTAACGTGTTATATATTCAAACTGTATTTTTGTCGGCTAAATAATTCATGAGGGTCAAAAACTACTGTTCGAAATAAATTATCGTAAGTGAACAAATATGCAGTAAGTTTTTCTCTCATGAGACGTTTAATAACTTATTAAGACTTTGTAAACCTAGACTGAGTGTAAAGAAAATGTTAATCTGTATCTTACAACTACCTAGCTATATTTTAATGAAAAACTCTGTTTTCCACAGAACAGTTTTAGATTGGATGCATGATTTGTATATTCGTACAGAAACCTTTGAAGTTTGTTTCTTAAACTTGAAATAAATCTCATGTTTCCTAACTGATATCATGAAGACAACAAAACTGATTACTGAGGTTTGGAAATTCAGAGAAAGGAGTTTAGCTACTCATGAGTAGTGTATTAGTATATTACAATGAGAATGATTTTTTGTTAGAAATACATTAGTTGTAAGATGTTTCGCAAATACTCTTTCAAAACTAATATTTGAATTTAAATAATTTAGGGTTATTATTCATTAGAAATACTTCCAGGATCTGAATTCAACTACTTTGCCGTCACAAAAATACTGTTAGACTATGTTATCATTCGACCATATATAATGAATAAACCCTCTTTTAAATGGAATCAAACTAAACTTTCAAAGTAAACGTTTTTTTATTTCAAGGGGTCAATGAAGCAAAGTAATGAAGCTTTCTGATTTCAATCGAATCCGGGACATTTTTTTAGTGTCATTAACGCTTTATCTTATACTTTATCCAACCATAAAACGTTTCTGTTATACTGATGCGACCTATATGCAAACAATTCATTCACGGAATAGTAAACATTCTTGTCCCATCCTGATTGATAATAATAACAAAATATTGGCAAAAATTACTCTCTGTGCTTCCATTCATTTTTAATTCAGAGTCACTTGTTACATATAATCATCCGTAATCAAACCGACTCACTCCATAGAACATTTTGCGTAATAATAATAATAATAATAATAATAATAATAATAATAATAATAATAATAATAATAATAGTAATTTACATGATATAGAAGCAGCTACCAATTAAATTATAACACCGAACATCTATTCGATCTACCAGGTTTCTAGCAATTCAAATATATTTGATGTTCAAAATACGAAACAGGCAGGGGAGCATATATTAACAACATGCCTTGACAATCAATTCATTTAAATACTGTTTAGAAAAGTAGTCATTTATGGATACTAATGCAAAGATTTCTCTCTTCAGCACTTTCATGAAAAGTTGACCGATTTATTACTAACATGTCAGTTCTGCTCAAATATCATAAGTAACAATTTCTTAAAAATATCTATGATCGAATATTAACCATCTTCCTAGATCCTCTACCTTTTGATAGAGCAACATTTACAGTCTTAAAATAATCCACGAAAAACTGGTATTCAGTATATCCAGAATTTGATTAGTAGACTATTAACTTGCTTATAATTATAATTAGGTAAATGCATAACATACCATGAACAGTAATTGAAAGTACTTTATTTTTAAAAAAACTTGGACGATATTTACAAGCAATAATCTTTTTGTAAATGAATTAATTCATTAACCGATGATTCCTCAAAGTGAGGATCGATTAACATTTAATTAACTTCATATCACTGTTTCTCATTTTGATATTTAGTGTCATGCTGAAAACTTACAGGCGTCTTCTCAATCGCATATATATATATCGTTAATATGGCTATCTTTAATAAGCTCGAAACCTCATTCGCTCCATTTTTATTATCAATTTTATTATTATTATTATTATTGGCTTTATTCAATATTATATATTTGGTAGAAAGTAAAATTCTCAGCACAAATTATTTCGAAAAGTTTCATTTTCTTATTTCTTGATCGATTCTTGCGATAAATATTGAGTGGTCTCCAGCTAAATGTTATTAGTTCAGGAATCAACATCTGAATAATGTATATTCTTTTCAATGCATATTACCAGCAATTACGATGTCTCTGATTAGGCGATTCTGTAACTCGGACAGCGAAATGTCGTAAACTTGTCTTAAACGTTCCTGAATCGACTATGCGACTAATGGGCATAATGATGCGTTAAAACAAACAATAAAATAGATAACTTGTTGAAATATTCAGCTGGGCTAAACAGGTAGCCTAGATCTATTAACCAGAAAATATGTTACCATGACTAATAACATTAAATGTTTTAATTAAAATATTAATAATTTTTTATATAAAATATTATCAATTGTTTTATTGTTTATTTTAACATCTTAACTGATCAATTTCGATTACATTTAATTTTAGATAGAACATGATAGAAATGTTCATAGTAGTTCTGGTTATATAACACCAGATTCATATTTATCAGAAAATTGTAATAGATCTCAAACAAATGGATATAATTGTCAAAATTTCAATCAATACCATAGTGATAAAAAGTTGATTAATCAAAGAAATCATACACAATTATTATATCATCCTCATAAAGATAGTTTATATAATGAAGATATATCTAATAAAATAACACGTGTTGGTGTTGCTTTGTGTATGCCTTCAGAATGTACTTTAAAATTACCTAAAAACTTTCAAACTTCACATAATTATCAACCACAAACAAATACACATTGTCACGATTCAAGTATAACATTTTCTACTGATTATTCAAGTGAAGATGTCAGTAGAAAAAGTGAAATTCGGAATATAGATACATTGAAGTATATGAAAATGAATTCACATAAGGATACTGTTAAATGGGAGGAATTAAATTCTGATGATTTAATAAGAATTAATCAATTAAGAACAGTAAGTCAAAATGAATTAATTCCTTCTTTTGTTCTCAATACATATTGATTACATCATTGTTTCTATCAGTTATATATATATATCTTAATTTCTAGTTTGGTGGAATTTAAGTTTTTGACAGTTCATTTTTTCACCCCACAGACTCTGTTATAGCCAACATAAGATCCGGTAAAAATTAAGATCTAGGACCCATCCAAATTGCTTTAATTCTGTTATCTGTTATTTTGTTAATAAACGATGGCTCTTACATGTATAAATGATCGTAATATCATTTTTTATCGTTCATATTTCCACAATAACCTTTGCTGTTTTCGATTAGTTGTTCTTACTTTTAGTTTACTAATTCTGTTTTGTTCCATGATCATTGTTAGTAGCTATATGTAAATTTTTGTTCCTGTATAAATTTTTCTTTTGAATACTATGGTTCCCTTCAACTTCTACCTTAACTTTGTGTTTCATTGCGTTGGAATTATTGTTTATGTGGTATGTGCCAATCATTCGTTCCATTGAGTTTACGTAGATCTGATTATGTATCATAAAAATATCCTAAATCAGTCGTAATTAGTAACTATTGTAGGCCCAATCGCAAACTGAAAAAATTCACAATTCACCGTCTCTAGATAGGAGGTGAAATAACAAAAACTTTAAAGATAATCATGCACTAAACGTAAAGAAAACATGATTAGAGTAAAACGAATTAAGTTCAAAGAATCTAAATGTATTTAGTAATAATCGTCATCAAGCTCAAACTTAGGGGAAGATGAAGAGTTACTCCATGTGAAACAAGTTTTAGGCTATTTTTTATTAGATCTTTAACGATAAATTGAGCTTATTATTTATCTGTCAATCAGTAAGTCTAAACCCCTGATTACTGACTTAAAATCAGTAACATTTGATGACTTCATGTAAAATCTTAGTAGTTTTTGTTTTCTCTTTACATACTTTCAGGGGTCTTATTTGCTATTTTAACTTCTCAATTTTAGTTATAAATGGTAGTTTAAGACATTTTGAACTTTTTCAATAGTTGAGATCATGAGTCAATTGGAGTTAACTCACCTAGAAGCACTGAACGTCCGTTTCGTTCTATTGTGGCACTTCTCGATATTGCACGTTCACAATCCCACCTCGTGAGATTCGAACCCAGGTTTTCCATGGTGGTCTAGCTTTAATTGACTCATGATCTCAACTACTAAAATTACTATAATATCCACAAAATCCCCTTCTGACATTTTGAACTTATCATTTATTTCAAGTATCATCTGTTTGTGTAAACAAAAACTAACTTTGTTAAAAACTTTATGGGTATCATGTTAACCGAATACTGGATGAAAAGATGTGATTTATAAAAGACTATTCTATTGATTTTGATAAATCAAGACCATTTCGTCTTAGTACCTTTTATATAATCTTCCATATTTAGACAACATAATGATGATAAACATTTTATTCATTTCTTAATAGTTCTTAATCAATCTTTCTTATTGATAATGATTTTCATAGATAATCGATAAAGAATTAAATATTCGTCTACCAATTAATCCAAAACACTTAATTATTGAATTGAGTACTGGTGTTATTTTAATTCAGTTACTGAATAAATTTATCGGGACAACATCAACTATCAAAGTGAGTCTATTTTAACTTGTGATTCATTCATTTGAATTGATTGATTATACCATCAAATGAAAAACAGTTACATTCTCTATTCCTTAAATAAAAATTGATAGTTATTGTTTGGATTGTTATTACATATAACAATATCTATCAAAAGTATCTTAAGCAGAGACGGATAGTAGCAAAAGGTGGAATCCAAAATGTATGTTTCATCCTATTTAGGACTTGTCAAATGAGTGTACCTCCATCGGAGTTGATGCAAACTCTGGTATTTAAACCCAGTGCATTTCGCTGCAAACTCCAATGCATTATCCATTATCTTCCTGAATCTAGATAACTACTGATTTGTAACTTAATGGCAATCTGGACACAGTCCGCACAGACACTGGGTTCGAATAACAGAATGAATATTAACTTAGGGAAGCAGGTATATATAGAAGCCAAGTTCCAAATATAACAAAACGTGCTTCCTGGGTTCCACTGCTAGTTACCTTCTATCTCTGTTTAGAATGCTTGTGACTAAGTAGCGACATCGAGACAATTCGCGCTAAGTGCACATATGCCGAAAGAAGCTGATAATTACATTCTTAAACGTCAATGTAAAGGATCAAACGACTAAGACAAATAAATATGTATCAAAGTTTTATTAACTTTGGAGAGTTTCTAACAGTGGGATCAAGGAAGGGTGTTTCATTCTATTTAAGCTGGTTGATTGAATTTACTGGCACCTCAGTGTTCATGTATACACTGAGATTTGAATCCTACCTTTCATTCCAAGCATCAACGCGTTATCCAAACAGCCATTAGGTTATGAATTTTATTTGAAAATGTTTAGATCTTTTCATTGTAGATGTTAAGCACTGCAGATGATCAGTCTTCATTATTATATATATCTCCTGAAAGAATTGACACAATATTTCTACTAACCATCTTCTGAATGAATGGAAATACTGAGGCAGTTCACCTACGTTGTTCGTATGCTATTAGTGGCTAATCAATTACAGTCCTTAGCGTCGATAACGGAGAGATATAAACCCTCACGGAATAGTCTGAATAACATTGTCGAGAATAAAGAAAGCGCATACTTAGTCATGAAGATGATATGTTTATGCAGTTATCACACTTTACAGTTAAACACTCGTGAAATCATATCAAGGCTAAGTTAGTTCCAAACAATATTTTAACCGTACTGCATTAATCTGAATAGTTATAAAAACAAGAGACTACACCCTGTTCTACTGATAAACATAGGGAAGGAGCTGTATGAGTCGGAAAATAAATAGCTATTTGGTGGTGATGGTGGTGATAAGATTAATCCATGTGTAGTGAAAGCCAGAGCGGTTAGTCATAATCTGGACCATCTTTAGCGCCTTCATGATATCAGTCTGACAATAAGAAGTCTAATTCATAATGCATCAGTGAGAGCAGTTTTACTCAATTTTTGTGAAACCAAGCATCTCCAAGTTGATTATGTCAAGTGACTCTCTGTGTTTGACCATCCTTATCTCGGAAATATTTCTGACATTCATTGACAATACCATGCTAGTAATGAAGAGTTTCGGAAATGTGTGTTTGAGCACAATGATTATGATTCAGTTGGTGTCACTATATGGAGACACCGAATTCGGTGGCTTGGACATGTACTACAAATGTCACCCCATCGGGTTGCATTTCGTGCACTATTTACCGACGCTGATAGTGGTTGGAAAAAAGGAGAGGCGGTCAGTTTATAACAAGGTATCGTGGTATGAGATAGAGCTGTACAGAACTGGCTTTTGTTGGTCCTCCACGACTTTTTTTTGGGGGTCATAGGAATGGTGGAACACAGTGACTTGATAAGTTACCAGGCATGGCTTTCTCTATCTCCTCACGATATCACTTTTATTGTGTGGCTCAGGCATATTCTGGTATTCGTTTGCACCAATATTTATATGTTTATTAGTATTGTTATTTGTAAATTCTAGGTTACTTACTGTTAAAAAGAAGGTATAAAACTATAAATCTATTTATCAATATATATATATATATATATATATATATATATATCCCCTATTATGTGGGCATGTGGTTAATCTTTTAACTGAACAACCTATTCGAATTAGCTCAAAGTATACTCATATTTCTTTAACTACTAACAGATATAGTCTCAAAACTATGGGAGGATATATAGAAATCTGTCAATAAATGAATCCAATACAAATATCGATCAAACATATATACAAAATTAGAAAGTTTCATTCATTGTTAGATATTTAAGACAAGTCACGCAATGTCGAGTCACTTAGACTAGTGACTACATTTCAACTTGGTCGATAGCATTCGATCTGCCCTAAGAAGGGTCTGACACATATGACATCGATCACCATCCAGTGATCAATCAATTGTGAAGACAAGTTATTTGATTCGAGATACTGTGCTTATTTCTTGATTGTATACTAATGTTGATGATGTTAGGCTAAGGAAACTAATATGTTGGGTGGTTGAAGATAGTTGTCAAGAAACCCTAGACCGAGGTTAGCAAAGAGGACCTGGAATCCAAAGGGAACTGGTACTCCCTGTGGTATGCTAAGTCACGCCGCTCGACATCATAGTCGGTTATCATTGGTCTATTTTGACTGTGGTTAGTACATTTCATCCATCAGTCTTCTGAAAGCTGGAAAAAAGACCCTACATTTTTGTCAACACTAAACCTACCATATACTTGTGTTTAGTGAAACTATGAACATTCAGTGTTCATGGCTTTTACCAGAAATAATCTTCATTAGATTAATTAACTTGTCAACTTATCGGTCACTTACAATTTATGGATCATAAATAATTTTCTCACATGAGTATTCGTCTATACCAAATTGGTCTTTACCAATATAAATTGGTCTTTTACCAAAGAGGACTTATAAACTGTACTCCTAGCTGTCAATATGTTTTCATAGTCAGTTTTGTTCACGTCCCCTACGAAGATGTACAAATTTTTGATCGGAATTGTATTGTTTATCGAACGGAACCTATTTTTAAATTAGTCGAACCTCCACAGTCTCTAAGTAGGATGAAAATTTCTACTCTGTTAGACATAATCTACTTTATGAACAATCCACGATAGTGATTATTTGATTATTGCGAGTATAAATCAATCTATTGAAGAATATAAAAGACTATAATTCGAGGTACATAAAGTTTCGTCAAAATAAGTAATAAATCTACTATCAATATAAAATTGTGGGGACTGTTGAATTTTAATTAATATCATGAACCGATCGATGTCAGATGATTATTAAAAACCAGGAAGCACAATACGGCAGTTTCGTCCTAGTATGGGACTCCTGAGCTGTTCGTAAATTTATCCCTGACTTTATAACGACTGAAATCTTACAAATAAGAAATATATGCAAAAGTGTCAAAAAAATTGGATAAAATAATAGTTTTTTGTTGATTTTTCTCTTTTGTCTTAGAAAGCTTTTAACCGCTAAACAGACTTCGATAGTTTAATCTGAGTTATTACATGTATTGCAATATAGTAGTGGGGTTTATGGACAAATCTATACTTCAACAGAAAATAAAGTAAGACTTCTTAGTATCTAAACGTTCCAGAAGTTGGCTGTTATATGGTAAAATCAGTTAATTACTAAGGAAATGCATTCATATAGCTATCAAATTGATGAACTATTCTTTAACCCTGCTTCAAATTTTATATATTTACTTTTATATTACTTGTGAGTAACTCGAAACGATTTGAATGATTATATTAATTCTAATATTATGAAAATTTTATTTATATATGTAAATAATATTTGAATTAGATTCCCACTCTTTAGTCTCATAAATTTATAGGTTTCCAGAAAATTTGTCATTTACATACGACCAACATTTGATCAATGTATAGATGATTATGGGAATTTTATAAACTGTTAGTTTTTGGAGCCTATTTCGTTTGTCTCTAGTTCAGTTAATCTAAATTTTATGTATTAAGTATAACCCATTCACTGTAAACTAAAATTAACATTTCTCCTTACCGTCATAAGTCTAATAATATTCATTTGTGTGTAGTCGATAAGATTAGACAAGTGATTCCAATCGATTACCTACAAATACCCAACTTCAAAAATGTGTACTGTAATGATTCATTTTGTATTGTTTGTTTGTGTCTTCCTATCGATGTTTAGGACTGTAGTTGATCAGTCTCCTATTGGAATATGTACATCCTATTCAGATTGACTAGATATTGCCTTAGTTCACAAGCATTATAAGCAAAGATGGATGGTGACTAACAGTGGAGTCCAGGACGCGTGTTTCGTCCTAATTTGGACTCCTCAGCCAGATATACTTGCATCCCAGAGTTGATGTTCACTCTGGGACACAAACCCAGTACCGTTCACTTCAAACGCCATCGCTTTATCGACTCAGTCACTGTAATGTTAATTCACTTGAACTAGTGACTACGTTACTACATAGTCGATAGAATTCAGTCAACACTATGTACTAGATGTTATATCAATTACATTTAAGCGGTAAATTAATGTAAAATAAACCTGTCATTCTAGTTGAATAAATTCCTAGCATAACCTTATATTCAATTGCCTTATTTTATGTGCTTTTACCACAGAATTGCAATTAAATATCATTAAACAAAGGATTTAGAGATTATATTTAACTCTTTTTATTAAACTTTCCATATCGTTCTGTTTTAAATGCTGAGCTTAAATAAGTGCGATCCAAAAGTTCACTTTTTCGAATTCCAACTGTTATGACCTTACCTATACGATCATCGCGAAATACGATTGCCAATTTAGATACGCTGACTTATACGATCAACTAATGACGCATACACCTGTATGAACAGCCTATAGTCCCAATTGGTCTTTTTCCCGCCTAACCATACCTGTTAAGTCCAGAACGCCAATCTCAGCCTCCATGATACCAATCGTATATTTCAAACATACTGGGTTTATATACAAACAAATCAAACCATATCACACCATAAAATAGAAAATATCATTTGTACAAGATCTAGCCAAAAATAGCTGTGATTGTGAGAAGCTGCTACTACTAAATTAGGAATATTTCAAAAATGGCAAATTGTATGGTAATAGTTAATAGGTCAAATAAAAGCCTATAATGAAAAGAATATAAATATATTCACTTAATAGTAATACAATAAGATACATATAATATTAATCCATAAATAGATCCCAACGGTTATCTTTTATTGTTCTCATCGAGATATAACATCAACCACTAATTAAAGTATATAAATAATAAGGATAATTGAAACTATTCTCCTCTTATTTAGTCAGTCATTAAAGGTATTGTCCATAGATTGTAAGATGTCATTTAGTATTATGATTTATAAATGGTTGAATCAAGGGTGAATTATTATAATTGTTAATTGACATTAATATGATACGCTACTGCAATTAATTTCATTATTTATACTAATAAATTGAGTCTGTTTTCGTTAAATGCGTTAACTTACAGAAATTAGAAACCATAATTTGTGTTAGATGGTTGGAGTCAATCACCAGGAAACACTAAAACTTGGTTTCGTACTAGTTGCCACTTGTCAGCAAGACGTACTTGCAATCTTGAGAGAACAGATGCTTCTTTTGGGATTGGAACCTATATCATGGACTGAGACGTTGCCACTGAGCGATTCAACCTGTGATTGACTTCCTATAGGACTAAGATATTTTCAATTAATGATTCAAGGAAATTTACTTACAATAATTATATTTTTCTAATATGAAGTTGTGTATAGGTTTATTTATGTAATTTAATACCTACTGCTCACTTCAATTGAAATAAATCCTTCTATTATTATCAAATCTGTTTTATGAACGACAAGATCTTAAGATCTGTAAATACATATTATTATGTCTGTCACTGTCGTGTCTGCAGAATCGCTTAACTGACTTACGCTTGGCACTTAAACTCTAAATCCAACGACGCGTAATGAGAACACGAAGACTGATTTGAGCTAAGAAAATTAATGAAACTAATATCTGAATACACCAATTTTTATATGATTTATTTACAGTTTGATTTGTATAATTTGAAATAAGTAGCATGTATCATCAATTAATCAATAACCTATATATAAACACATTTTCCGTGTCATACAGTTAGGAATCTATAAATAACGGATATAACTAATTGACCAAGCTATACAACTACTCTGTAGTGTCAGATGCTATGTCAAACCCACAAAGATTATTCTAGCTTCTGGATAGACCAATCTATTCGTTCTTCTTTAATCACATTTTGACCTTGTTAATTATTTGCTTACCAACCTTGATTGTTTTTATGTAAGCGTATGTGTGTGCATTTCTTATCTTCTCATCACATGTCTGTAACCTATCTGTAAATATCGATTAACGCTTGGTTAAATTGAGTTGGCTAACACACCTCCACCGCGCGCCACTATGCTTCGTTTCTTCACTCGTTTTTTGGATCAACAATCTTATGCAATAAATCTATTCGAAATTCATTCTAGTATTTGACTTATTTAATTCCGTTCTTCACCAACGCGAGTTAAGTCAGTGATTATAAATGAGGATTGGCGATATGTATATTTCGACAGCAATCATTCGATAACAATCAGAAACGATCTAACTCGAGTCAGATCTCCGGATCACAAAAACTCCTTATCAGTATGTAATTACATGTTACAGATAATTGGTAAAAAAAATCGATTCCATCTGTCATTCGTACTTCAATCGGTTATGTCTTTACTTCTCTTATTACACATAGTATTAGATAGGTTAGAGCCCCAAAACGTCAGATAGTATGAATTATGTTGTCAGATTTATGGTATTCAATCAATGTGTTGTAATCTATCCTCAGTAATAATTTATAAAATACATTTGAGTTCAGCTTCGACATAAACTGATTTTGGTGTATATATATCGATCGACTACTGAATATCCAGATAGTAGTTTTATGAATCAGTGAATAATCATTCATCATGATGCGTTCTTGTCTGAGATTCTGTTCAGAGAACTTCAGTTCACCATCTTATACTAAAAAAGAAAAGTAAATGTTAACTCCGTTCACTCAGAGTTTATTATATGATCAATTGGCTGCTTTTTCATTGATTGAGATCATGAATGAATCAATGTTAGACCATCATTGAAAACCTGGAAGCACTGAATGGCCATCTCGTCCTAGTATAGGACTCCACAGAAGTGCGCAGATATGATTTCGCACTCGGGATTCGAACCCAGGGCCTTCGGTCTCGTGCGCTAAACCTTTAGACTACTGAGCCGGCTTTTTATTGGTGAGTTTCTCTATCTCTAACCTAATTAGTATTAAGTATAGGACTATTATTATAAGGTTTAGTTTTTCACTTTTCACTGATGTCAGTTGGAAGATCAGGGAAAACATAAACAGCATTGAATAGCCATTTTATTGCTTATTTAAGTCTATCCAAAAGTTCGTAGAATTTTTTAGTAGTTTCATAGCTAGTGTTAGTTTGCAATTGATTGATCACTGAGTAGTGACACAACACTGTATTTGTCTAGTTTTTAGTGCTAATCAAGTCCTGTAAATTAAGTTCCTATATGGCTACTTTTCTGAGTGACTCAACGTCACATTCACTATGTCCAGATGTTGATTGGAAGTAGTTAGTTGACTAATAAATCGTCGGCCTAGATTTTCTGTCATTTGAGACTGATCAATAAAGTTTAAACGTAATCCTAAGAGAATCGATGCTCCCTATGGGTTTCTAATACACTTCACCCAGTTTCACATTCTGAGACCTTACTACTGAGCTATTTGAGCTACTATTGACTCCCAGAAGAAAGATGGAAATTCACTTCAAATTTAACAGTAATCTTTACAAATCCTACTTCATATATATATATTTTAATTTTGTAGAATCTCCACAATTTATTAAAATAAATGTCAAATAGGTCACTTGAAGCAAAACATAATTTTCCAAAAAATTAAGTGTAATGAAGAGTACAAAATACTGTATATTCTGTAGGTTTTTACTAAGAAAAGTATATCATACGATCGATAGGGTATAGTGTTGACCTTAGAAGATTTTGAATTTAATCTCATTCATATTTATGGCTAACTATTGTTATCTAATTACCTTTAAAAATTGTTTACGATTTGTTCATAGTAGATTATACTGAGGATATATGCATTTTCTTAATTTCTTCATATTATAAAATTACCAACTATATAACATTCGGTTCAATAAACTTCATGTTATACACTTTTTATTGTTTAGCCTTTTAAACATTATTAAAGTGATGAATTTCTCTTTATTTATTTATTTAGATCTGTTTACCTAGAAATGATCAGCATCATAATATGTTAAATGAAGTAGTCAAATCTTATCGTCGAAATTTAAGACGTTGTCGTGAATCAATATATCGTTATGGTGTACCTAAAGTAAGATTATAAATAATGTTAGTTAAAAATGAGTTTGTTTGTTTTTTCTTCTGAATCTAGAATATTTTGATTATATTATGTTATCTGAGCTCTATATAGCGAACAAATGCTTGAAAGGATTTGAATTGGATCATCGAATAGTTATGCTATATCACAAATTCAATAAATTTACAATTATACACATGAATAATTTCCTAGTTATATGAAATTGTCTATGTAGCTATTTATGTTTTTCTAAGAGACTCAGAATTATTTTTTTCTAGTTAGCGTTTTTTTAGCGAGTTAGTTTTCTACGGGATGAGGTCGCTAATCCCATGCCCAACCCTCCTCCTTTATCCGGGCTTGGGACCGGCAGTAACTCCATAAGTGTTACAGGCGGAGTTGGATAGGACATATATTACGGAAATTACCGAACTGCATCACGGGGCAAGCCTTAACTTGGAATCCTGAAGGCAAGCGGAAAAGAGGAACGCCAAAGAACACATTTCGTCGGGAAATAGAAGCAGATATGAAAAGGATGGATAACAACTGGAAAGAGCTGGAAAGGATTACCCAGGACAGGGTCGAATGGAGAGTGCTGGTGGGCGGCCTATGCTCCCCCACGAGGAGTAACAGGCATAAGTAAGTAAGTAAGTAAGAGACTCAGAAATAACACAGATGTAGCAGTAAAAAAGACTTGTTTTATTTGGTTGAAAACGGCTTGTATACTTTGTAAATAAGTTTTCTAATTTATTTATCACCGTATTGACAGTTTACATTATTACTTAAATGGCTGAAATCCTTAGGTTAGATAATTACCTGTAATATAACATACTTGTTCTTTAAATGAAATGTAATGACGAATATAACATGAATGAAATCTGTTATAATTCGACAAAAACAAGTGCTATAGTTTATAATTTTGTTTTTAAAAAAAGAAACTAGATTTCACTGTAGAATAAATCAGATCAATTAGAATAAGTATGTCACTGAAATACTTTAATAGACAAAATAATAGAAATCTAGTCAGTAATGTTTGTTTTATATTTTTAACAATAGTGAAACAAAATGGGAAACAATCTGTAAATGAACTTCTTTTCTTGTTTTTATCTTTCTTTATGAAAAAGGAATATCTATTTTCCACTGAATCCATTGTAAATCCTCAAAGTGCTGATGGTTTATTATCGTTGGCTAATTCCATTTCTATTTTGTACAATTTACATAATAATAATAATAATAACAATAATAATAATAATAATAGTAATAATAATAATAATAATACAAAATCTCCTATAAATGCTTCTTCATCTAATCAAATTCAAAAAATTTTGATATAAACATAGAAAATCAATATAATACCAAATGTGCACAAGATCGATTCACATCCTCCCCTATACAGCAACAATATTTACAAAAAACTCAATATAATAATAATAATAATAAAACAATCAATCATCATAGAATATATCAAATGAATATTTGGTCAAATTATTTATGCTCAGATGTGTAACATAAATAAATAAATCAATAAAATGCAATCATATTAGTTTCCTTTCTTATAGGGATTGTTTTGTTTCGTTTTTGTTTTTTCTATACATCAATTGATGGGTTACATAAATGTTATTGTACAATAGTGAAAATATACTCATAATATTTTTCTATATATACACAATTGAATATTATTGAAAAACTTTTAAGAAAAAAACGTTTTCTTTTCTTTTTTTTCGTTCAATTTCTCAAGTTTAACAGAATTATGTAGAAACTATTCAAAAACAAAAATTTGTTTTCTTTTTGAATGTTGAAAAATAAAAAAAATTGTTACTTTTTCTAATTTTCTAATGGGGATATTTTAAAAGTCAGTTTTACTTATTTACTTACTTACGCCTGTTATTCCTAATGGAGCATAGGCCACCGACCAGCATTCTCCAACATACTCTGTCCTGGGCCTTCATTTCTAATTTTATCCAATTCTTGTTCATTTCTCTCATGTCTATCTCCATTTCCCGACGTAATGTGTTCTTTGGTCTTCCTTTACTCTTTTGGCCTTGAGGATTTCATGTGAGGGCTTGTCTTGTGACGCAGTTGGGTGCTTTCCTCAACGTGTGTCCTATTCACTTCCAGCACTTCATGATTTCTTCCTCCACTGGGATCTGGTTTGTTCTTTCCCGCAGTTGGTTGTTGCTAGTAGTGTCCGGCCAACGGATCCGAAGTATTTTGCGTAGACAACTGTTAATAAATACCTGTATTTTCTGGATGATGGCTTTCGCAGTTCTCCAGGTTTCCGCCCCAGTAGACAGTAGAACTGTCTTGACATTCTTATTGAAAATCTAAAAGTCAGTTTTAGTTTTTAAAAATAAAATAAAAATGAAATGAGCATTTAATAGATAGAATTTCATGGATTAGTTGAAGTTACATATTAACATCATTGGATGATGTTGGTCAGCTCAGTGGTTGAGAGGTTAAGCGTTCGTAAGTGAGATCGATAGATCCTGAGTTCGAATCCCTCGAGGTGGGATCATGGAGGAGTTCCACAAAAGGACAAAACGGTTGTTGAGTGCTTACAGGTTTTCCATGGTGATCTAACTTCAACTGACTCATAATCTTAACTATTGAAATATAATTTTGTTTAGTTCCTAATATTTAATGTTACTTTTGATTAACATTACAAGTTTATGTGAGATTTGATCGGACGTTGGTTAACAATGTAATTGAACATATCTATTGTATCGATAGTAAATATATTTTTGTGATATCCCAATGAGTAGAAAATTGTGCTTCTGACGTTTCGTGACTTATTGTAAGCCACTACTTCAAAGTAAAGTGAAAAAAACTAACAAAAGTTTAAATTGCACAAAGGAAACAATGCAGAACATTGTTAGTGCAATTAAAACCATAATAGGTCGGAGTGTTTCAGTGTCAAGTTATTCTTGATCACGGTGAATTTGTATGACCTGATACCGTATTAATTTGTGCACCAGAATGCGGGTTTGATAAATGTATGTATTTATAATATGAAGTAGCAGGGTAGAAACTGAATGTGTGTATAGATTGTGTTGAAAGCAAATAACGTCAGATGTAGTTGTTTGGATAAACAGTTCAAGTTGGATGAATATTCAGGCCTTCTTTCCTATTGAGTGCACAGGCATTTAACATAATGTGAAACGTTTCGACTACTGGTGAGCCTTTTGCATATGAGTATAATACACAAGATAGTGGTAGTTGGTGAATGAATTCTGCTTCCAGGCTGTTTATCTTCTCAGAATCCTGAAGCCATTGAATCCCATAGGTTTTGAACTATGGTTTTCTAACTAGAAAAGATGGGGCTTCGGTATCCAGCAACACAGTTGAAGCTCTAATAATCTTTTTCCTCTCTAGCTCACTTATTCAAAAACAATCTTGGTACATGAAGGTAGTAAGCAGAACTTCCTTAAAAGAAATTATGAACTACAGGACGCGTGTGAGTATATCAGGTGTGACAATGGATCATTCCTCAGCCTTACTGCATCTTTGGACGTCTGTGACTGGATTATTATATATGACTTCTTAGCACTATTGTGGACGCTTTTTGTAAATACTTAAGATTTAATCAACTTGAAATTCACTATTTTCTGTCCATAATACTGATTAATTTATTTATAAACTTTAAATTTATACCGTAAATACTATAAGGCATAGCACAATACAAATAGACTTATAATTCAATATGTGTGAAAACTTGTCTGGAGTTCAGGGTAATAAACAAAATCATCAAAACAATCAAATCTATAATGTGCTAATCCAATCATATTTAGATGTTGACTTTAGTAAATAGGATAATATGAGTCAGTTAAATAAGAATCATGTGAAAAGTTCACAATGTGTGTATGGATGTGTAAGATTGAGTTATCAATGATTGATATCCGGTGTTAATATGTTTTTATATGAAGGAATAAATATAAAATAAAAGTGCAAGTTGAAGGCTGAAAAAATTCTTTCTGAATCATTGAAGTAAAAGTAAAATTGAGAATCATCAAATACATAATTGTATTATCAGAAGGGGTTTCGTGGAGATTTTAGAAATTTCAATAGTTGAAATCATGAGTCAATTGAAGCTAGACCACCATGGAAAACCTGGAAGCACTAGACGGCCAAGTTTTCCATGGTGGTCTAGCTTCAATTGACTCATGATTTCAACTATTGAAATTACTACAATCTCCACAAAACCCCTTCTGATAATACTCAGCTGCTCACTAGTGACTGACTTCAAGAGGCATTTCCTGGAGTTCTAGTGAGAAGCCGTTACCATTGGAGTTCAACTAAGTCAGTTGTGAGATATCAACTCACTGAAGACAATGGTGTAAGGTGGCTCAATTTTGTGGGTTGGTTGAAGTTAGATATTAACACCGTTGGATGCCGGCTCAGTGGTCCAATGGTTAAGCGCTCATGCGCGAGACTGAAAGGCCCTGAATTCGAGTCTCGCGGAGGACGGGATCGCGGATGCGCACTACTGAGGAGTCCCATACTAAGACGAAACGGCCGTCCAGTGCTTCCAGGTTTTCCATGGTGGTCTAGCTTCAACTGACTCATGAATTCAATTATTGACACGATTGCATTGCTAAAAATAACTAACATTAATTTCAATCAAAATAACGATGCATGTGAAATAAACAAGTTGAATAATGAATGGGTCCAATTACTTGTTAACGAATATTTTCTGAGTAGTTGCTAGCTGAATAACATCCTTTCTGTTTGGGCTGTTCTTATTCGCCCATATATACAGCGCTTCTGCTGTCAATTTTTCTTTATGACTGTTAAAACCTATCTGGAATATTTTTGATCCCTTCAAAATTAATTTTGTGTCCTGTTTCTAACGCATGTAACGCTACCGCAAACTCATTCTCAAGTTTTACTAGATCAACTGAAGATTTGGGAACATTTTCCAAACACTGTTTGTGTTCCTTCAGCCTTACATTCAAGTGTTTGGATGTTTCTTCCATATGAACTTTATTACAATCATGACAGTTGATCTCATAGAAAACATTTTATTGTTTTTCCTTTGAGAACCTATTCTTAATTTTCACTAATGCCGATCTTATGGTGTCACCAGCGCGAAAATACACTCTTAAATCACGCTTGTTTAGAATCTGCTTGATTTCTTCCAGTATGTCGCTACGGTATGGGATGACCACGGTGGACTTCCAATCTTTCAGTATACATTCTAGTTTAATCTTTTTTTCTAATAACCTTCTTAAAAAACCCTTTTGGGTAGTTGCTATCCTTAAGTGTAGACAAAACTCTATTCAACTCAACTTGTTGGTCTTCCTTATCTGTAACGACTATAATACTTCTGTTCATTAAATTTTTACAACACTGACTTTCGTACACTGCGCATGAGCCGAACAATAATCTAAGTACCTCTCAAAATGTGTTGATTTCCTGAATACATTTATTTTCAAATTATTATTATGTCTTCGTTCAATTAAACAATCGAAAAACGCTAATTTATGGTCAACGGATTCTATTTCCTTCGTTAGCTTAATGCTCTCCGAAGTGTTGTTTACATTTTCAAATAAATCTTCCAAACCATCCTGTTTAACGATAATAAAAATGTCGTCTACATACCGTAACCAGACCTTTGGTGGACATACACTTCTAGCGATAGCGTTGGTTCCTATAGAATTCATGAATAAATTCGCTACAATAGAAGAAACTGGCGAACCCATTGCTATACCTTCTTTTTGTCTGTAAAGATCTCCTCGAAATATAAGGTGGATATTAAACATAATTCCAAGCAATTTGATAACCTCAGATGGATCTAATGGGCATCGTAAATTCAAATCTGAATCAGATTCTAAAACCTTTTCAGCCTTCAACATACACTTTTGTTTTATTTATTTATTCCTTCATATAAAAACATATTAACACCGGATATCAATCATTGATAACTCAATCTTACACATCCATGCACACGCACACAATTCGTTCAGTCATTTATTTTAACATTGTGAACTTTTCACATGATTCTTATTTAACTGACTCATATTATCCTATTTACTAAAGTCAACATCTAAATATGATTGGATTAGCACATTATAGATTTGATTGTTAAAACGCTATTTGATGTCGATTGTTGTCCTGAAGAAGTCCGGACAAGTTAGCTGGACGAAACGTTGGAATTACTTTAAGTTTCAATCGCTGAGATTATTTCAAATATAATTTCCACTTATAATGACTTCTTTATACTCATTGCTCAATTTTTGTCAAACTATTCATTCTAATATTGACGAATGGTCGTATAGACTTATAATTGTTAATAGCTTGGAAACGAAATTAGCAAAAATACGTTCATTCACGTTGGGTTTTTTTTAAATATGTTATAGGGCTTTATAAAAATTTGTATTGCGTTTTAATCAATCAGAGTTGACTTAGTGTCTATAGCCTGTATTCTTAAACATGTTTCTAATTTGAAAAGTTCTACAGATTCAGATCTTTTTTCACCTTTTTCTTTTCTGATTTTCCTTTGTTCTTGTAAAAGAAACTTGTTTCAGTACTTCGTACTGAGAATTCTATATTGTACCAAAGAATACTAATGAATAAAGCCATCAATAATAATAATAATAATAATAATAATAATAATAATAATAATAATAATAATAATAGTGGTAAGAACAGTCAGAAACACATTCAACGCATCGTTAGATTTTTCAATTAGACGATTATTATTTTTCCAAAGCTCGTTCATGTTGGATGAAAAAGATATGCATATCATGGAAGTAATTCTATAGTTATTCTCTTTTTAGAGAAAAAAGTGTTATATCCGAGCAAAGATTAAATTACAGGTAACTTCTGAGGACTATTAATGAACTAATATTCTATAAATATTCTTATTGTATAACTATTTAACAATTAGATTACGTATATTTACATTCCTCTTATTATAAGCTTTACTTTGACCTATAATTTATTATTGTACGATTTACGGTTCTTAAGCTATGTTCAGTTTTTTAACTACTGCCTCCCACATACACAGTCACTTTTTGGCTTTATTGTGTACATATTTTATTTTCTATTTTATAGTAATTTGTGCTCTGTCTGGTTGATATATAAACCGAGTATGTCTGAAATAAACGATTCGATTCGATTCATATTTCAGAAGCTGGCATTGTGTTCTGAACTCAAGTGGACGGGCTAGGAGGACATGGGACCAATAAGGACGCTAGACTACTCATACCGGTTGAAAGTCATTGGTTTGGCACAGTGCGAAGATTTGTATAAGTCGTATTTTGATTGGTGGATAAATCACGTGATAAAAGCCGGACATAAAAAGTCACAGCAAAAAGAAAACGTTTTCTACCTTCAATAGAAATGATCAAATTTTATAAGTTAATTGATATCATTTATTCTCAGCTAATCTCTGATTTTTGTGTCATTATCATTATAAAATACATGCAATATATTACAATTATGCATGTTCAACAAAATATTAAGCACAAAGGTCTTTAATTATATACTTTAATCTTGGTTTATAAATGTTTCTATGGTAGTTTTTCTTTTTCCTTCCTTATTTTCCATTATTTGTAACAAACTATTTCATATATAACACAAAATTGAGATTTTTTCAATATACAGACTATTTAAGATTATTTCTATCATAAATTAAATGAACCTTGTACTGTCTGTTCAAAATTATTATTTATATTATAATGTGTTACATATAAATTTATTATCAAGCTGTACAATCGTATATATATGAAAATTTTTTTATTTTTGTAAAAGTACTAATTCCATGAGGAAATGTTGTTATTATTCATATTACGTAATCTAGTATTATAACCTTTTTATTAACTGTGTTCACATTTCCTCACGGAATTAGTACTTTTACAAAAACAAAAAATTTTCATATATATACGATTGTACAGCTTGATAATAAATTCGTTGAATAGAGATCCCTTCGCATCCAACTTTTACATATAAATGAATATTTCAAGTTTATGACAGATTTAAATTCTTTTTCGTTTATTTTCATTAATCAATTAAATCATTTAGTTAAACTAGATATTCAAAGATAAATACTGGATGATCAACTTGGAAATATTTAAAGTTTAGTGGTATCTACTTGTCAAAGAAAGACATAGAGTCTATTTTAAATGCATAACCTACCATTACATGTCTTTGATAAGTAATTCATTATATCTTTATGATTTGCTCAGTTGATTAAATCTATAAGAAAATAAGTAGTCGTACACAGTTTAAGAGATAGTTTTGACTTTTTTTAGTAGAATAGGTGTACTAGATTGAGAAGAAAGTAAAAGATTTCTTTCAGTGCAGTTTTCATTAACTAAGGTTTAAACAGAAAAGATTTGATATTGTGTATGAGGTTACGCTGATAAGACTTTCTGAAAAAATGTTGGTAGAATCATATCTATTATACACGAAAACTTTGCCCTGTTTATTTAATGTTAAGTATTATAGAGGGACAGAAAGTTTAACTCTGGGTAGTCCGCTTGGCCTAATATTTACTGACATTTTTCAAGTACAAATTTTAAAAAAGTCAAACCCAAGCATGCGATAAAACAAACGTTTTATTTGATACGTGTTTTTGATATTTTCATCATACGTAATAACTGATACCATGTTGATCAGTTACTTAGACCCCCAAATTCACATACCATCTGGAAATACAAGACAAAATACCTTAAACTTGTTCTATTTTCTCATGAAATTTCCTGAACGGGCAATACTCTCAACGATGATAATTAGACAGAAGGTAAACTTATACATTACGTAGAAGTAACAGCTATTTGTCGTCTCAACTCTAATCTGTATATACAAAAGAAATCTTTAGTTCATTACTACTCTTTCACACCTTATTTCGTCCAAAATGTTGTTCTAAGGAAGTAATATAAAAATATCAAACAAACAAAATTAAGTTCACTTAGTATTGTTTTGCTTGCATCTTCCCATAAAGGTTTAAGACTGCATTTGACCAGTCTGTTATAGGCATATGCCTCGATATTGCCTTAATTCACAGAGTGGAAATCAACTCTGAGATACAGGTACATCCAGCTGACGAGTCCCAAATAGGACGAAACGCACGTCCTGGATTCCACTGCTAGCCACTATCCATCTTTGCTTATAAAAAACAAACTTAAGAGTTCATAATTGATCATAAGTCTAATCATCTACTGATGTTATAATTATCAGTCACTAAAACAGAGAATGGATTTGATGTATGATGGCTGAAGGTAGCCTCTAGGTTTTCTGCTCTGTCGCAGCCTACCTTGACTCACAGTGATGTCTGCAATAGGCGTAAGAAGGAAGAACGCCGGGGGCGTCCAAACCAAGACGCGGTATCAATTCAATAAGTCACTCATTCTGTCTGGACCGTTTCGGCGGGTGCAAACAATCTGCTTGACGTCTGTGGCAGTAACGATCAGTGGTTGATGTTGAGTGACAGCCCAGAATCAGTCAAAATAATATGAGTAGCATATACTTTTTATCTTAATCCCCAATATTCCTTCCTATATATATTCTATTCCGTCATCTAAAACTGATTTCTTAATGTTTGTCGTCTCTGACTATCATTTTTACTTCAATTATGTCAACTCCTCTGCTATTCACCTCATTATGCTAATATGGTATAGCAACTTTTACTAACGTACATTTCTGCCAGGATATACGTTGATTACGACTGACTAACTGATAACTTTGATAAATAAAATTCTAATCAGTGAATGTATGAGATAAACTGGTCTGTGACAAATTATCACGTGTATAGTTCAAGTAGTTTCTTAACACAAAGTAATTTTTCAACAGAGATTCCTCATTGATCATGATCTGTTAGTATTCTTATTCATAATTCGAATGAATGAAATTGACAGGAAAAATTGCCGAATTTCAAATAATCTCATTTAGACTCTTCTATGAATCAAGACATTCAAAGTAATTTTCAATTTTGATCAGTGATTTTGAAGGGTTTTCAGTCGGATCCAAAATATATATTTGCACACGTATAAATTTCCAACAATTTCAAGTAAGTACCATGTCTATTGATTGTATGAACCGATTACGTTGAGGTAACTGGGAGAAACATTTTCTGCATATTAGTTTGAATTTACAGTGGATCGATATTCGATTTATGCTCAAGAAAATTTGGTTGTTATCTATATATGGTTTATCCAAAAATAGTTAAACAGATATACTTTTTGATGATAGGATGATTAATTCAGACAAATTTTAAGTGCTTTTTTTAATAAATGAAATTGAACCAGCATAAGATAGATCTCGCATTACTGTGATTCATAGACAATTGTAATCTATTCGTATTTAATGATCTGCACGCTTAATTATAATTGATCGGTTAACTAATTAAGAATACTGTGGTGGTCGGTATCCGATATAATCCTTAACTTCGTATACAATTCGTCTTGCTAACCGTTCTGTATAACCCCCCCCCAACGGTATAATAATCAGAAGGCAAATACGAAGTGTTGATTACGTTTATTGCGAGACCACACACATATATCCAAATGTACAAATGCGTTAAATAAACATAGAAGAGTTGTGCCGAAAGGCAAGCAAGCGAGCGAGAGCCATAGCAAGAGCGTGATGAGAGCGTGTGAGCGAATGAGTGAGAGGTCAATATGAATAACATGGACATATATATATATATATATATATATATATATATATATATATATATATATATATATATATATATATATACCATGTGAAATGAATGAGTAATCGAATCGAATAAGCGGTTAGTAGTAAGACTAGCAGAGTGAATAAATGCGTAGGCAGTAATCAATATTCAAGCATACGTATTTCATGCAAGCACAAAATAATAAGGGTACAATAAATTGTTATAGTACGGATGGCTTTGTCCGCTAAATAAGTTAGCGAAAGGGCTTAACTGAGTTAAAAATGAGAATAAACCCATTTGCACGTGAGTCGCTATAATACAAATAACCCTGATTCTGACACGTTTCAATAGTTGAATGAGTAAAGTGTATTGATAAGAATGTAGTTTTTTAAAAAATGATGGAGTGTTCGCAAGAAAAACCAATGACAACTACTAACATAAAACATGACAATAAATAAATATATTTGTAATATCCCAATGAGTAGAAAAATAAAGTTTTCTGACGTTTCGTGACTCAGTGTAAGCCAATTTTGAAGAAGTGGAATACTACAAATATATTAATTTATTTATAACAATCTACCCCAATGCTTAATTTATTCGAAATTATCAAGTCAAACTTTCGTAATGATACCTACAAAACATTCATATCAATAGATGATTTGTAAGCGATTTGGTGTTCCTATTAAAAACATCTGTCATGGAATTGTATAGCTAATGCTCTTGGCTTACATATACTAAATCGAGGTAACTATCTTATACAAGCATAAGTGCATGGCTTATGAGTTATATTTACCGTACAATAAAATGGAATGCTAAAAAAATACTGGTCAAGAATATCACAATAATAAAATAATTTTTATTTAATATTCAATAATCTAGGGACACTGGGTACAAATCAGAAAAATTTAGTAATTATAATCACAAGATAATGATGATATTTCCTTGGGAAGATAAAAATAGTAATGAACAGAATGAAGGATATGATTCATTTAGAAAGAAAGAAAAAGATTACAAAGTGTAGTAAGAATATTTAGAAGTTTCATAAATCAAGCCATGAACGAATTGTTTGTACCTCAATTTGACGAACTTGACGTGCTGATGGTGGGTCGTTTGGATCTGGTGATCTATGTGATTGGAGAAAAAGAAAAGATATGAGAAGAAAGAGAACAAAATAATATTCCTAACAATACTGTAACTACCTCTACTAATATAGGATTTTCCCTAACAATTTCATCTCGCCGTGTTAGTGAGGTGTAGACAACTTGAACTGATGTACATGAGTACCAGATTCTACGTTGCGCTTGACAGACAGATTGATTGATATCGAATAAATACCTGATCAAATCATGAGCGAATACAAATTTCAACAGGTATTATGTAACTGGACTATTGTTCAACGGGTCGAAGTTATTAATTCATCTCATTTAGTCAGGTAAATTTTTGTCGAACGATATTTTTATGTGCAACTTTGTAATTTATAACACAATCTTATACTTAGCTAGGCAGGTTAATTAAGACCTGGTATGGGTTACATGAATGACGGATTATGGTGTTTCTATGAGGTGGCGGAAACCGGTGGCTCGAGTAGCATAACTGGTGAATATGCATACTCTTTTCGTTTCCACACAATATACTATTCCGTTACTTTTCAACTTCATCTTTGATGATTTACTTACACAGGTAGGTATTGATGAACAGTTTTGCAAGCCTAATTCATTTATTAACTGAATACTTTTCATTAAACTGGACAAATCGGGAGAGGAAAAATAAATACCTTAAATCAAGATGATGAGCTCCACCATCTAGTACCAAGGAGATGACTTTCTCTGATTGATCAGTTAAAATCTAACAATGATAAAAATGGAAAAATCGATTAGTGCAAAGTTTGACTTCAAACATAGATGAGTGTAATAAATTGAATGAATATTTGTAAATTACAAAAAATTGTCGGGTTTCATAATTTTAGTAATTACATCGATATTCTAGCAAACCATTAAAAAAACTGTACCCTGAATATAATTCGATAAATTATCCTGTTTAACTATGTGACATATATCTTTCTAATGAATAAATTGTATGAGAACACTTTGATAATAAATATGGTCGAATTGACCTACTGACCATAGTAATAACTATGTAGTCTATTAGAAAATGTTTACATGTTAAACTATTAGTAATTAGTAATTATGTTGTCCAACTATCGATCTAATGTCAGTTAATTAGCTTTAATTAAGTACCATTAACTTGAAAGATACGATACATGTGCTCTGAATTAGTGACAACAATATAACAATCGATCTAAACTGACTGGAATGTTTATTTCTTAAAGTCCTACTATAATAAGAAAATGGTTTGAAGAGTGATTAAGCTAATAAAAGAAACTATCATAATATTTCACCATAATCTATAGAGTCTCCAAATATGGTCTGATTAGTGAGTACGGATATGATAGCAGTAAGATTTTTTTCCTTAGTTGTGGAGATTAGAAATATATCAGTCAAATTTTTTACATTCCACTATGCTTTTGGGTATTCAGTGGATAGCTGTTAGTTCTACAGAGAATCTAAAACTGTCATTTGTAAATACAAAGACTTAAGAACACAAAACAATTATTTCCATTACCATATTTGAATAATGATTACCACCTAACTGACAGATACAGTCTTTTATGGATAGTACTGTCAAAACTTGTGACTTCAGTAGTAAATTGCAAATTCGCTTGAGAAAGCATAATATTATGCAAAGCATTTACCAAAACATAGGTTTATTTACTGCGTTTTTAATCACACCTTTTGATATGTCATAGATAATGATACCATCCTAACTGTTTAAATCGAAGTAGGTGAAGCGAGGTACACAGGTGAGACGTATTATTTGGAAATTCAGTCGTTTAACCACAAAAAGATATCACTTCACATTTGTTTATAACAGTTAAATAATTAACATTTTATATTTACACTAAACATATTAGATGACTTAGTAAGCAGTAAATATACGCTTGAAAGAGAAAACAAAATATACAGTTTTGTGTGGCGCATATATATTCGGTGCCCCCTTGTACCAATATTTATGTGTTCAAGTAAATAAATAAATAAGAGGATTTATAGCTCAAAAATATGATTTACTGATCATGTTGTCGATAAGGACAATGAAAGCTTCACGACTAGACCACTATCTAACTCAGAGAACGCAACTTCAAAAATAGTTGACTTTTACTTAACAGTCTCGGTGTTATAGTTATAGATGCCCATTGCTGAGGAATCCCATACTTGGATGAGATAATTGTCTAAAGCTTACCGGTTTTTAGTGGTCATCTAACCTAGGTCCTTTCGTGATCCCAATTACAAAACATGAATTCCAACAAAAAGATACAACACTCACCAAAATTAAATGAACAATAATGCATAATTTTATATTAATTGTATAAATAAAACAACACGGGGTCGTATAAAACACGTCTGATTCATAAAAAACTCTATCCATAAATTAGAATTAGTGGGAAAAAACAAAAATACATCACACATCCTACTTACTCCACCACCCATCCATGGATCCAAATTCCCATTTGAAAATATGATATTGCTTGAAGTTTTCCAAACTGAAAATATAGTTGTATTTTTTAGAAGTGTTTTAACGGTTAAGATGAAAAGAGTTAGAATAATAGGATAATAAACGTAACAATCTAGGCTAAATGATTCACAGTATACACTAGCATTAAAGAGAGAACCACCGCAAATGGCTGAACAGTGATCAAGCAGCCGGTTGATTCTAATCTACGATTTCTTAGTAGTGTATGCGTACCACCGTCCAACACGAAGATATTCAACCACAGAGTAGAAATTCAATGATTCATAATTTTTTGACTAATAATGAAATATAAAAATGCAGGTTCAGATTCATTGTAGCATCGTACATAGGCACTTCAGAAGAGTCCATCGCTGGGACTAAACAACTGTTTAGTGTCTTTTTTAATAAATCAATACTAGCCATTACCAGTCAGTTTGTAATGAAAAACATTGTCAAATTAAACAAATTTTCATAAACCACCTAACTTAAAGAGGCTATATTATTCCATGCACAATATAAAAAACTCAGTTATCAGGACGATAAAAATGTGACAAAATAAGCTGTGACCTCCAGGCTAAAGCAATTAATTTGACTTAATACTAAACGTCAAAGTGAAATCGATTAATTTTCATAGTTTACAACACGAACCGACCTTAGTTAGACAAGTATCGAAAATCACGAAGCACTGGACAGTGAGCGTTAACGACCCATGATCTTCAAGTCTCCAGAGTGAACGCTTGACTTTAATAAAATCTTGATATTAAGCAACCACCTCCCAATATCACTGGTGGATAACTGACTTACACACAACATGGCTGAACTCCACTGATCACAGCTTTCCACTAGGATTCCGGGAGTTATCTGTCGAAATTAGTCACTGGTGAGGATATAGAGTGGCACTTCAGGGTCCTGCACTTGAAACCCAGTTAGGTCATGAATACTACCCAGTGCTCTATTTGTTTCTGGTGATTATCTAACTAAGTTCTCTTAGTTATGTAAACTATGAGAAATTTTAGTTAGAAAGAAAAACATAAACAGGAGAAGGAAAGGATTGTTCATGATGAAAATACTAATGAATTTTCCATAATGTTAGTAATAAACATAATTTTAGACAATGCTGACAAGATACGTATAAGAAGGATTTACAAACAAACACCACATAAACAGCTATATCTTATTCATGGACAAATATAATTTGTTGGGAAACGAAAATCGAGATTCAATAATTTAATCCTTTTTACTTTGGATATGTAACTATGTATCGTTTAAACAAAGTTTATTCAATATTTTCCATTTTTCATTCGATATTCTGAGATTAAGGGTGGAAAAAAATGGGAAATCAATTAGTTTGACCATTGTAATATATTTTCATGGGTCTTTTACTTATTCTGTGAAAATCCGAAGACTAGTGTACATTTATAGATTGACCATTACTGTATACATACTCAAAATTTAAACAATACAATGTCCTCTGTACCAAATAAAACTCTATTTGTGCTGTTCCATAATGGTGAAATCGGTTAAAATTTCAAATATTTACATTCTTTTCTGAATATTTCTTTACAGAATGTAACAAGTTTTATCATTCCCAATATTGCATCTACACTAGCAACCATAGACATGATCCTTATTAAGATTACACAGAAAAAAGAAACACTTGATTATCCATGGATGTAAAAATATGTGCGCAGTGGAGATTATCGATTAGACGATAGACAGGCTTAACCAGTAGGAATATAAGATAAAGCCTCCATTGAATTCAAGATTATCAGATTAAATGATTGGATTAAATTGTAAAATATTCATTTGATGTTTAAGACATTTGAAATTTGTAACTAATTATTTACTTAGTGAATAGAAAAAAATATCTTGTTAATAAAAATCCTTATTTTGAAAATATTATGTAGTAAAAAGAACAAATTAAGCCAACAACAATATAACATACTATTGTCACCATAAAATGTTGACAATTGATTAAATGCTGGTGTAACACCCCACCTTCGTTGGCAATAACTTGTTACTTGTTGTTTTGTTAGAGGTAAAGAGGTGAACATATCATTTGTAGTACTATCCGAGTCATCGTGTAAATTCATCTCTGTACAACTCTAGAATAAAAAACAATTACAAAAGAGTAATTTTTTGATGATGAACAAAACGAGACGGTTAGTATAGATAATGAAGTGCGAAAAAATAATTTGACAATCACATTAGTTGTACACTAAGACTGCGTTTGATAAGTCAGACAGTCCGAAGCAACTCGAAACATACTCGTATCTATTCGAATTGCAACACTGCATCAAAACAACGAAGTGAAATCGACAAGATGAGTACTAGAATAATATTAGTTGTAGTGTAGTGAATGAATCCTTGGTGGGGAAAATTATTTTATTGTTTAGTGCGAAATCATGCAGTGGTTTAGTAAATTATGAAAATCATACATTAAATGCATCATATGCACATCTTCTTCGCTTTGTCCTTTACATACTCCATTATTCCTCTAATTCTGTTGTTACTTCGATTACTCTTAGATTTCTTTCCTGTTCTCTTTATTGCAATTTTCTGGTACCATACATTCCACTTTCGATTGGTGCTACATACTACTTATATCTGTCAACACAAGTAGCATACACTACACTCGTCCCTCGTTTGAACCGTCGCTCCTGCAGTTGTTATCTAAAGGAAGACAAAGAGTAGCTGCATCAGTACCACAGTGACCGACTTTGAGCCATATCAAACGACGTTTCTAAACATTAGTTGCCACAATTACACGGGCCCCAACTAGATAGTCTGTACCTTGGTAAACAATAATCTTGTACAAATTTATGTTCAAAGATTAAAGCTACAATGAATTTTCAAAGGTTAATGACATGTGACCACATTTTTGTAGAAAAGGCTACAACATCTCGCAAATCCGCCTCTTGACCTACAAATCTTCACCACATACCTTGGATTTACTGGTGATTATTATTTGCCAACATTAATAACCTGAAAGAAAAACTATTTGACGGATAGGATAATGGGACTATAATCGTGAAATTCAAACAGAGCTCTCTTTCAGAGTGAAAACAGAGATTCTGTTCTGTACATTGAAGATTTTTTAATGTCCGAAATGTGTTTATGAGAAGTAAAACAGTCATGTACTTAAAAACAGGGAAAATTATGATACGTTTAGTAGCAATTAATCTTGATTAATACATAAATTCATTAGGATAGCTTTAAGTCTTAGTAAAAAGGTGATAAATTTCACATTACCAACTCACTGCAAGTGATTTAAAATATCTCAAACGCTTCGCTCTACATTGAGATCGAGTTCGTTACATAGCCAAAAGATAAATTATTCAAAGATTTTCACAATAACAAATCACATCCTAAAGCTGATATATTCTTACTTCATGGATTAAATTTAATTAGAAGGAAATAATTACTGACCTGAAAATCCCAAGCAAGTGAATCACTGCCTAGACCACATCCTGTTATATCAGCGCACTCAATAAACTGTGTTTTATAGTCGAAACACGAGAGAGCTAAAATTTAATTTTTTTTAAACAAAACATACTTTTATTATTATCAGGGTAAATTAAATTCCATATTGGGAGCTAAACGATTAATAGCAGTTTTTCAACTTTCTCAATTCCTAAACCCTTATTTTCGCATACAAATTAACAGAAAGGTGCTCACTTAGAACTAAAGCATTTTACATAGCATAAACCGTATTTATATACTATTTTAACTGCATTCAAGCTTCTGAGATATATTTAGGACGATGATTCTGAATATTTCGAGGAAAATTTAAATCAGAAATTTTTCGCAGTCTCAGCTACAAGCTTTTTTGCTTAACAATCAATATTGTATTGTTTATCGTTTAAAAAATAGTTGATTGGACTGCTTAACTACTTACCTAAGCTGTATGTTTGTAATTTGTTGTACATTTTAACAAGATAATTGGAATAAAAGTATCATTAACAAATTATTTGACTACCATTAACCTTAGTGGTGGAAAAGAAAACCTGTGACTTTTCAACAGTATTTAGTTCGGTTAAATGAGATAGGATGTGCACATTAGTCGTATAAACTATAGATAAGTTATAAAACACAGCTTATATCCCCTTTCAAAAACCATAGGAGTAATGTGAGTATGATTTTAATAAGTGACATTGTTGGGATATTCAGGAAAATATCCCAAAAATTATCCTGTTAAGCCTAATGCTATCCTTGGACATGAAATACTATCATCTTATTGGGCAATATTTGTTTAACGTGTCATTTTCCTACTGGCCATTATTGTACAATGTTATTTTCTATTTTTTGGTACGTTGTGGTCTGCTTGACTGGTATATAAACAAATTATGTTTGAAATATAATGATTCATAACCCAGAGGCTATGACTTGCGTTCTGGACTCAACTGACTGGGCTAGGCAGGGAAGCGGGACCAATCAGAACCCTAGGTCGTTCTACGTGTTTGCGCGTCTTTGGTCCGATCAATAATTCGCCTACCCTCAATCAGCAGCTTTATTTTCACAGTTATAACAGACATCTTTAAATTTATATTTTTCTGTACCAGTTTTATCGTTATAATCATATTTTCACCTTTTCCATAACTCTTGATACCGTTTGTGAAAATACTAAGGTGGTGTACTTAATGTCTTACTAAGAAACTGGAAACATTTCTCTTGACAATGTGAATGATTCTGTGTCTGTCTTACTAAATTCTATGGATTAATTACAATTCCATAAAACTAGACAAAACAAAAATCCTCCTGAAAACTGATGTTTTGGTGGTTAGGTTGATCATAACAATTAATATTTTATTACTTTTTCCCAATATCGTAGTTTCGCATTGTATTCTCAAAAGTCACTAAAGAACAATACTCCCCAATTCTTTAACACCAAGTTTATCGGCGTCAATTTTTGTTTTGTTCTCAAGTCTGAATCTTTTAGCTCTAACCAGCGGTTTTCATGGCTCGAAAGCTACTTCTATGCAGAAGAAATTTCACAACAGATGTGTAGTATATTATCGAGACATGACTGAAATCTTTTATGATACCGTGAGGTAAGAATAGATTTAAGTCCCATCCACATCTAACCAACAAAAAATCAATCAGCTTTTAAGTAACCTCCACAATGTACACAAAGCAACAGTGTAGTTGTAAGGGTTAATGTAAAGTTTAACTAGGCTGAAACTTAGGTAGCAGATATTTCTCTCAACTACAACTGCATAGATAACCAAAGATAGATATCAGGTATTGGTATTTGAAGGCAAATGTATAAATACTGATTTTTATTTTTTTATTTTATTTGAACACATATATATTGATACAGGAGTGCGCCAAATATATATGCGCCACACAATTTCAGTTCATTAATTGCGTGTGGGCTGCGATACTGCCCGGGTGCCCAGACCTAAGCAGGTGGTTATCTTAGGGGGCCACTCCCCGAGCCTTTGACCTAAAGGTCTAACCCACAAGGCAGTGGAGCATCGTAAGGAGATGCAGTCCCATGGAAGCCGGTGACCAAAAATTGGTTCATACGCCATTCGTTCCCGCAGGATACTGGAGCCCATATGCACCATTGATTTTGTTTGGGATCCGGTTAAAGCGCCGGACATTCGCTTTTCATCCTCTCATTTTCGTAAACAACACCCCCGCCACGAGAAGGCAGTGAGTAGGACTTCCCTGGCAGAGGCTGTATACGCGTGGCCATGTGAGAGCATTTTGAGAGGGTGGGCGGGCCCACCCCATTCTCGGCCATACCAGGGCATTTGGGGGTATAAATACTGATACTGATACTGTCGGATGAATATACTAATGCCTTCGTCAGAAAGTCCATGGACCTTATGTGCTGAAGGAGTTAAGTCCGATGACAAGCGAGTAAGAACGTATTCACGTGGAATATCCTAAAAAGTATAATAAAAAGCAACAGGATATGGTAAACATACATTGTGAACTGTTGTAGAAAACTCCAACAGCCTCACGAAGGGTCGGAATGAGATCAGTGACAGATAACGCAATTTCGCACGAGACATTTACAGGATTAGCAGGTAGACTTGCCATAAATGATGCCTTGTAGGGATAATCTAACATAGCCATCATAACAAATGCATTGCGAGCCCATTTCAGTACCCAGTAAAATTCGAAATCATTTTGGACAGGTTTACATAACCGTAGGTCATTAGAGAGTTGTTTGTAACCTGTAAAATGACATTTTTATAAATATTTAAACAAGAGTTAAGCATGGATATGTATCTCAAAATATATGGTTGTTTATACAACAAATTGACAATAACACCAAAATTAATACTTTACTTTATCTGATCAACCAAAGACTAATATACCCGGCGAAAAATCCTAAAATAAAATCATATAAAGTCAAGAAAATTAGTACAATAATGCCACACCTTGAGACAGAATGAACAAAACTAACAGGAAAGATAGATGTACACTAAATAAACATTGCTTATAGGTTTCAGCATTAGTAGGTGAGTGTATAATACATACAGATATATTGAAATGAACTTGGTTTACCAAAAAAACGTTTAAGTGTTTATCGCCATGAGTAAAATAATTAGAGCCAGCATCATCATTAAATAGCTGTGGACAACTGTAACAAGTAGTGAAAATTAACAAATGCTTACCAAACACTTTATGGGCACTTCATAAATACTGACATCAGTAAACAGTTTTGGAAGAATAAAACTGGCATATTTAAAAACTTCACTTCAGCTTAACTTTTCAAGATGAGTAAGAACTCTTGAGTCACTTTCCGGTTCATTCAATTTAGTCTTAGCTGAGTCTTCCTTCTTACCATACCATGCACACAGAATTACTTTGAATTTTAGACTGAAGTCGAAATTAGTGAATGACTTTGGAACTGTATTCATTTTTTTCTGAAAACTGAGACGACTTTGTGGGGATAATCACGTTACTTATAAATTGTAAACTGTATTTACGTATTTAGATCTACGTTTATTTATCCAAAAGCTAATTCTAAATATGTCTGCGTCTTTACAAATCGAATACAAATCAAAGGACATTATTGTAAAAAAAAATCGGACGCAAAAATCTAAACAAAATTGTAGAACAGAATTTCGTACCGATATTTTACTGAACAAACATTATAAGTTCAAGCAAATATTTATTATTAGTGGTGTCACATGGAAGAACAACTCAATCCGAACACAGTTGAATCACCAAAATGTTTATGAAAACTGATACTGATAAACTGATAGTTAAACCTTTTACAGCCTACCGATATCAGGTTTCTGAGATAGCTGAACAGCTAAGTTAAAGGCGTTTTTAATCTTCTCTGAACATTTTGGATCAGCATCATGGTAGTCCTAAATAATAAAACTACTCATCAAGGACAAGAGTACTTACCTTAGTGACACGTTCAAAAAAGTCGTGAAAATTCCCCTCACCTGCAACCCATCTAACTGGTGCACTTGCAGCTAAAGCACCTTTAATTATATGGGGATATTTAGCCCTCATATACGCTGCAAGCATGCCTCCATAGCTGTGATATAAAGTAAACATGAAATACAGAACTTACCTTCCACCAAATGCAACAACAAGGGATCTACTTATGTTGAATTTACTTTTGATACCTTCAATTAAGTAAGCATAATCTGCTAACGCTTGGTCAACTGAAAGGTATTGAATATATGGCTGCTGGAAGCTTTTATCAAATGGGAGACTTTTCCCATAGTATCTCTGGTTCGAATAACTAGTTACTGAATGTATTTAATACATACATGTTCAGCAAACAGGACGAAAGCATTAAAACTAGGTGCTAATTCGAATATTAGCCCTGTATTGTTCCAAAACCCATCGATTCCTCCTTCGTTTCCACAATAAAAGAAGATGGGTCCATTTGGTTTGAACCATTTATCTATTTTTCAAAGAAGCAATCAAAATATGTAAATACCTTACCTTCATACAGATAACGCTGTTTGAAAGTCAAGTTTCTTGCTTGAAAATTATAGTGATCCAAAGTCTGATCAAAATAGTTTTCTTTTGGTGGCCACGGTATAGATGATGATGATGAGACATATAAAGTGCACACAAACAGGAAGAATTGCAAAACAGGGTTTTGATGCACCATGAACCCAAGAGCTATAAATGATGGATGTATAGTATGATGAATTTCCAGTAACTAGCACGTCAAGTAGTCCATTTTAAAGACTAAGGTTAACAACACAGGGATTAATTTAATCTGATAAAATTGAATTTATAGACAAAAATCTCCTACATCCCTATCATTGTTGGACTTGTAAGTGATAAAACGTTAACCATATATATAGAAAACAACAGAAATTTCGAAACCTCCAATGGTCGTCTGAATATCAGTGAACACCAGAATTGGCATATTATTGTGTGGAAAACTTATAGAAAGACTCAGTAAATAATCCATAAGACCCGGTACCCGTAACACATTTGTTTATCCATCGATTTCCTTTATTATGTTTAACTCGTTACTTGAATACCAGCAAAAGTTTATGTTGTGACTTATTGGTTAGGAGGTTCAGCTTTCAACCACTAAATCGAAGGTTTAACTACTTCACCATCTAATTTGGTAAGGGCAACCGAATAGTATTATTAGCCCTCACACTTGGTGTGGCTCATACCCAAGTATCTGGTGAACGAGTTAGTTTTCTTTCGTCCCCAATCCATCTGATTTCCTAAAGCTCTATTTATTCACTTGTAATCTAGGAGGCAAAACTAAACAAAAGGGAAAGGCTAGGAAACCATGATGATCCACTTCCGATGATAGACTACTATAGGCACCCACTCCACCAACAGTATTCAAGTAAACTGCTTTCAGAAGGTCTAAAATAGACTTTGGTGTACTATTTAATTACATAGGATACTACAAAGCCTGTCGATCGACGGATTCAAGTGCAATTATAGGATCGAAAAAGACTACCACAGTGAGGAGCTAGTATGCTTTCATCCCAAGGGATGAAGATCTGATTTATTCATCGATGGCAAGGTTGAGAACCCACTTGGAATGTTTAGTCACATTGTCCCTGAATTCCAGTTCGGCACCAGACGATAAAGATGGGTCGCCATCTTTAACTACCTGTAGGCCTGTTTTCTGTGTTGCATTACGTCAAATACATCCTTTACCAACATCATAGCATGAAATTCCTTTTCGTGAGATTTGGAAAGAAAGCTGGAACGTTATTATTAGCTTTGTTGACCTATAAACTGAATCTCTAAGCTCAAGAGGTGATAGTTTGAAGTCGATTGCTCACGATCGATTTGTGAGTAGTTATTGTATTACTATTTGCCTTACTGTACCGAAAACCTGTAGGGCACAGACGTGTATTCATTTCAGAATTGACATTTCCCAGACCCTCCTTTTGTTTGACGGAAGGCCAATTTGAAAAGCCTGGCTGCTGCTACATTTGGGCAGTTTGGAGTACAGTTACTTAGAACACAGAGCTTGTAGCTTTTATTGTCATCACTTTGATCGATCTCATCCCAACCAACCAATAAAGGGAAAACAAAGGTGAACAAAGGGGAAAATGCGTTGGAAAACAAGGGGAAAGGCGCCAAAATGTCTGCTTTTTCTCCCGTCTGAGGGAAATAATGGATCTAACTTTCCCAATAGATCCAATGCACATGGTGTACTTTCGTGTCACAAAGAAACCAACCAATCTACGGTCAAACTCTCACGCAAACGACCAAGAAACACGAGCACGTGCGTAGTTAGGAACATAGATAAGTTAATATCTAGTTGCGTGGTAAGTACTCCCTCCGACTTTCAGCGTAAATGCCGTACATTAGACTTCATATCAGTAAGGAATGTATATATCGATACATACTTTAACCACGTTATTTCATACAAAAACAAAGTATTTGTCTACCCTTATTGTATAGCTAGGTAGAAATAATTGCTAGTCTGTGATGCAATTATAGAAAAACTATTGTTACAGTGCCTGATTAAGGAGTTTTCATGGATTTTGTGATACCATTTGCCGCAAAATGGAAAAACCCTTTCTCTATCTAGTTTAAAAGTCGAAAAATATGCTTTCAAATCTATTTATAATTAATTTGTACTTTTGGCTGTGCACAAAGCAGAAATAAAGGAGTAGCGCAAAAGTCCGCGATACCTCAGGTCTAGATTAAATCTGCCTCTACGACCTTGAATGAACTGGACCAAATGGTCAAATGGCTGTGGACGGAATAGGAGAAACTTTCACTTAACGGGTTTCCGTGTGTAGTAGCAGTAGATCACCAATACCTCCAGACAGGAAACTTGGTATATTAACGATAATAGAGGAAAAAGAAACTGGTAAATCATAGTTAATTAACTGTTTTGATCGTAAATTACGCATCAAAACTACCGTCTACACTTTAATTGGATCTACCCCAGTTAAAGTGATATTGTATTGAGTGTTTTAATTTTGCTTTTGTATATTTATTGCATCGAAGCATGCTTGGTCGACTTTTACCTGGTTTATTTAGTTAAGGTTTGAGAATCCTTTTACATATCCTGTTTTTGTCACCGTTCTAGTTGATTTTCAAGATGGTTAGATCTGCACATAAATGTGGACAACCATATTGCTCATTGTCCCGTGGAGGAACGGATGCAATGTGATGAGTGTAACAAGTGGTTCCAAAAGATGTGCACCCGATTAAGCCCCACTGCATATAAAAGATGCTCAAGGCCCAACTCCCATTGGCTTTGTAGTTTTTGCTGCTCGAGCAAAACATTACTCATCCAGGAAGCAGTTAGCCTCCTGATGTTGGCTAATAAGAAGGTTGATGAGGGCCGTACTGGTAACATTGGTACTGATGGCGAAGATTGCGTTAGTGTCGTAAGTGCTGTCATGGCGCAAGCTAGACATCTAGCTGTGCAACCCGCAGTTTAACGTTCTTCCCCGAAACGATCAGTGAGTGACACCACATTAGACGTTGGTGGCCATATTACTACACCTGCGACTAGTGATCCAGATAAGACAATTACTGTCCCGAGTTGTTCTAATGTAGATGTTTCGACTGATGGAAAATGGATTACGCGAAAACGCAGAAGAGTAGGAAAGACAGATAAAACTAATGACTGTTTACTTGATAAGTCCTTGGTGGACTCTCAGACCAATCCGCCAAAGCTCCAAAGCAAAGCTTCGTCTAACACTGTTGTGAGTCACTCACAGGACTCTGTTACAATGGTTTGGTCTCATAAGGATCTAGGAGTGATAGTGAGTCATGATCTTAAGACGACGGCCCATTGCCGGGAGGTCGCATTTAAGGGGTTTCGAACCATCTGGGCTTTTAAAAGGACATTCACTAAGTTAGATACTACCACGTTCACCACAGTATACACATCCTTAGTGAGAACGAAGCTTGAGAACTGCGTTCAGGCTGCCAGCCCCTGTTTAAAAGATGACTTGGATATCGTAGAAAAAGTACAGAGGGCGGCTACCCGTGCAGTTCCAGAACTCCGGGGTTTACCACAAAACGAGCAGCTTGAAAAGCTAAACCTCTTCACTCTGTCCTGTCGCAGACTAGGGGTAGATCAAATTTTTATATGCAGAATACTGAGAAATGATTTCGGACCTAACTTATTCTCTCCTTTTTTCCACTAGATCAAGGCATCTCAGGGGACATAACAGGCGAACAGAAAAGCCAAGAACGAACAAAATACCCGTGGCATACAGATTTTCTTACTGAGTTATCAATACTTGGATCCTGCTGCCCGAAGCAGTGGTGTCCGCACCTTCAATTGACTCTTTCAAGAGAAGACTGGACACTCACAGAAGCATACTAGAAAAAAAATAACATAGGCCGTAGGCCTTCTGTCCTTACTACACAAATCTGAATCTGAATCCCTAGTCCCTAAGAACAGGTCAAGTTGCCTCTTAAAATATTTAATCCATCCAAACTCCGTCCTCCGAGTTGAATGATTGACTATGACACCTCATTGGGAAGGTCCAGATTACTCGGAAGTCGCGAGGCCAATGACCTTTCCAACAACCAGAGCAACAATCAATATACGTACGTGAAATATTTGGACAACGTAGTAAAAAGAGGAGACTACGCAAATAGCAGAAGAAATGTGGAGAGGCAACTTGAAGGTTCTTAACAGCTTCGGTTGGTTGGTTAAGAGTTGACATGAGATTGACGTGAACTTGCTTCGAGGCATAGAACGTGAAACGTAAGCAGCATGGAAGGACCAAGGAAATACGCTTAGTACATAGCACAACAAATAGAATCCAATTCACTATGATGGATCACTCGTACGTCTCAATACATACACTTCCTGTGAACTCTGAAAATGGAAACGCTTTTTCACGTGCTTTGAATATTTTTTAACTAGTTAATTTTTAGGGTGTATTACACTGATATCATCATATTAACTTATATATCAGGTGCATTTTACTATTGAAAAGCAGTTTCGAAGGTTACTTTTCAGTTAACACAACCCAATTGTCAATATACTTTTCTAAATATTTTATGTAAGTCCTTAAATGTCGACATTAAAATGAATTAGTTTCCTGATCATACCAGCTAAAATGTGAGTACTGAGTTGACAGTTACCATCTCACTCAATAACTAAACAACTCATCCCGAAGGATTTTCAAAGAAGCATGATACGTCCAGTACCAAAAGTGTGGTTAGACGTAAGCACCTCTCTTTAAAATTTTTACGGCGTCGTCGGTTTAGCAACAGTCAATTTTTTACGAAACAATATACTGTTTCCCATTTTCAGGATGAGTAGGAAAGTTTGGTATAGTTTATGGAAAACGTATACGTTTATGATTTGTAGATAAGCGAATTATGCTAATATATTCACCCAGGCAATACTAATGATTTATCTGATTGCATAAAGATTTATTTAATAGCATTTAATCGAGAACACCTAGAACTTTAGAGTTATCTTCTATTTGACGTATACTCGACATTTACACATCCATTGAGCTCAACAGTAAAAAATGTAACCATGTAGTACTAACGGAAACAAGAAATACAACTAAAACCTACGAATGTAAAATACCTGAACAGTTTTCATTCAAGTCTGTACAGTCAATGGGTATTCGAATATCAGGGTAGATCACCCAAATTGGCTTCAAAGGAGAGCAGCGAATCATCAATTCACACATAAGATGATAGATCAAAGCTTGGAACAGCAATACGTGTTTTTCATAGACACGAAATATAGCATGTCTTTAAGGGTAGCCAGTCCAGTGAATCAAGCAACAACAATCAACAATACAATCAATAGGTCTGACCGCCACTGAGTAAAACAAAGTAGGTGAGTCCCTGACAAACCATGTAATAGCGAGGATGAGACAAAAAACTAAAATATTAAAAAAAATGGATGATCCCAATTTCACTCGAATCAGAATGGAAATTTCGCGAATAAAGAGGTTAGAAAATGCTTGTCTTACGTTTAACTGAAGACAATAAATTGGCAGCGCACAAAATGAAACATGAAGGGATTTTGGTGAACAGCGACACACAATCACCAAGCTTTCACACACATTTTAGCTTGCTCTCTTTTCGATTTGGCTAGGGTTGCTATCTATTGATGTTTGTTAGCTGTCATCAGACTATTAGGATATACTTGGCAGAGTGAACTACGTTTTTGATATTATTGACCATAAAGTATTTCTAGAGATTCCCTACTGCTGACACTAATTTTTACGCAATTTTTGTAAAGTTTTGAGGTTTGAACTTGAAGTACGTATCTGTCACAGCTAGATTACAATAAGATCGCAATGTTTTATCTTTTATAGGGTATATCTTCTAACGATTAGCTCTCAGTTACTTGTTTGTTTACATGATGTTGACTATTCAACCATCATCATTCTCGTCATCAATAGCCGGCCTAATTATGAAAGATGGAACTGTTGAAAGCGTTTTAATGAATCTCTACAAGTATTCCAAAGCTAGCAAAATCAAAATCGTTTGTTAATGCGTATGGGATAGAAGGGCCTGGTCATCTGTCAAGTCCAAATCGCCTAGTTCCATTCAAGCCGTCCATTGTATTTCGTGTCTCCCCTGAGATGCAGATGTCTTAATGACCTAGCCGACAACCTGAAGAGAGTGGTAGGGGATGGGCATTATTGTCTGACGCCTGTTCTCACGTGGAGTGTGCCTGTCAGCCGTCCTCCATGCGCCACTTCGCAGTGTAGTCCGTTTTCCGGGTGATGTTGAAGACATCCTCGGCCACTATTTTTAGTGTGGGAGACGAGTCCACAATGTTCTCCTATCCAAACTGTCAAATACCTTCTCATTATCAAGGACGTTGATGTATAGTGACGAGTAGCACTTAAATGACTGCTCGACGACGGTCCGTAATGTCGCGATTCGGTCTGTGAGCGACCGATCCTTACGGAATCATACCTGTGTATGCGTTCTGTGCCTTGAATTTCTCTGTCTACGTTCGACTGTTGTTAATTGCTGTCCTCTTGTTCTCACTTTCTTTGATCTTGTCCAGAGTTTCACTAGAGATCCATTCCTCATCATGATGCTTGTTGCAACTCAGAACCTACTGATATATTGAGGTTAATGCTTCTTTGATCCTTTGCCAGTTGTTCTCTATAGTAGTTTTCTCATCTTTGAATGGATCCCGTAAGGCTTTGAATCGGCTGTTGAGAATTATCTTGAATCCGTTGAGTTTGCTGGTATGTCGAAGAAGATTGTATTGAACCTTTTGAATGCTGTTTCTACAGTTGTTCAGTACTCTCTTAACTTCAGTTTCATGTTGGCAATCACAAATTCGTGGTGATTTGAAATTATCTCAGTCCCTCTCATGGTTCTCACATCTTCCATTGATTTTTTGAACTTTTTAGTGATTCTTTGTTGTGTGATCTGGTGAGACCGATGTAGCTCTGCGCATGCGTTTGTGGGGGAATACAGTGCTGCCCTTACCCAATATGTCGAATGCACATAGGTTTGCGAATCTCTCACCATTTTCGTACGTTCCTCCCACTCAGTCCGTGTTGTCCCATGATATCTTCATACTCAGTGTTGTCCATTCCGACTTTGGGGTTTACGTTTTCAATCGGGATAGTCAGGTCCTTTCCTGAGCACTTCGTTGTGATCGACTGTAGCCTCCCACAAAAGTGATATTTAACATCTTCACTGCTATGATTGAAGGGTGCATAACATTGGATAACATTCATCGTTATCTCTACCCTCTTTTTTTGAATGATGCCTTGATGATCCTGGGTACATGAGATCCCCATCCTATGGGTGAATTTCGTGCTTCTGTGTACAATCTCGAAGCAACTCCCCAAGTGTCTGGAGCATTTTTTCTTCATGATCAGATTACTAGAGCATTTATTTACGAATCTGGTTATTTCTGTTCAACTTCGATCCATTGAATTTCACTGATTTCGAGAACATTTCGTGACTTAAGGTAACCCTCGTGCTATTGATAGAAGAAACCAGACAAGTAGTGAATAGGTCTTTATTTCGATCTTAGCGCAGTCACAGTGAAGCGTGAGATTATTTGTTCAGACAAACAAAGCCTCTCAACATTCAATATAAGATAATAGGAAATATAACGCCTATACAAAATAAGGAAGTGAATGAATACTTGAACAATACTGTTTTGGCATATGCTTGGTTGTTCGGGGTCAACTCTTAACCAACCGACCTAAGCTGTTACTTTAGCTTCCCCCTAGAATCGACTTCCGTAGTAACGTCGGTTCGATTAACGTATCTATCAAAAACACCTTAGTTCTGTTTTCTCAGCCGAAGGGAAAATTATCATCACCAATAACCAGTGGTGTTGTGCAGGATAGTGTCTTTGGTCCATTGCTCTTTATAATCTGAATCAACAATATATGCAAATGCTTTAGCACAGGTAAGACCTACCTCTATGCCGATGACCTAAAAGTCATCTATAAAACTGACATTTGAGATTTAAGTAGTACTATGCAAACAATCCAAGATGAACTCAACATGGTAGACGGCTGGTGCAAACGCTGGAGGTTAGAGCTCAACACAGAGAAATGCGGCTGGTTATGTATAGGAGACACTTCTCTTAAAATAAAACTAACTCTTAACAGCCACACACTGCCCAGACTGGCATCAGTAACTGACCTAGGGGTACATCACTCACACAGTCTTAATTTCTCTGAACACATCTCAGCCAAAGCATCCAAAATGCGGAAATTGCTTGGCTTCATTCTCCGCAGTTTCTATCAAAATGAATCT